ATTAATTGGAGGATGGTGACTAGCAGTGGATCCAGGATGAGCATTTTGTCCTGTTCGGGACTAGTCATCTGGATGTACCTGCAATCCGAACCCAGGCTCGAACACACTGCACATAGTTTCAAACGCCAAAGCATTATCCACTAGACCACTTGGTTGATGAGAGCCACCTCATTGTGCAACGGATCACCTGCGGAATGAAGGTACATCCAGCTGACCATGAGTCCCAAATAAGACGAAATGCACATCCTGATGGATTTCACTGCTAGTCATCATCTAACCATTAACTTCTCAATAAAATTATGGTTCAATTTGAACACTATTAGATTTCATCCAGAACTAATATTGTAACAACAGAAGACAAGGGCCAGGCAACAGATCGTTTTATTATGAAAATCAACACGTATTTAAACATATTTCAACTACATTATTATAGACAAGCGCAGTCATCTGATTGGTTGTTTATCAGAAGTTAGGTCGACAAACGCAGGCTTCTGATTGGTTGTTTCGGGATTCCTTGACAAATAGAGTTCTCTATCTGCGAATCATATTTTGCCACGTTAACTTTGCTGTGATTGGTTGTTGACTCAGCCTTGTTCATATTTTCTCACGGCCCATATTAGTGACCTAGACCTTAACGTAGATTAGTGCCAACCAATCGGCTAGCAGCCTGCTCTCACCACAATATCAGTCTGAGAGATTAGTGAAAACTAGGAAGTATTTCTTACCATTCTGAGACCCTTCAGAAGTGCGCACCTCGCGATCTTACTACGGACCTCCGAATGAAACAGTTGCTCATCGAAAGTGCACTGGTGAGCCTAGTACTTTATTTCATCAAGAGATTTTTTATTAATGAATTTATTAACTATCATTCAGTCATTAAAACTAATATTTTTTTTATTTTTGATTACAGCTTGATTCCACACTGTATTTTTGGTACAAGTATGGAATTTTCAGCATGTGATATCAGTAGCCCAAATTTCGCAGGCCGACCGTAGATATCAGGTGTGTGTCGGTGTGGGGTCGAACCCCCTGGTCGGCGAGAGTCCTAACCACGGTGCCAACGACGCCCAATATATGGCGTCAAACATATATGCAATCACAATAGGGGTTTTCCTAATGTGCATACTGATGAATAGTTATTCCGTTCATTGATATCAGTAAGGTGAAAGACTTGATAACGGAATCTCTATTCTATCTCATCTTGTGGATACAACAGAACACAAGATTGATGAAAACAAGGCAGCTTTCAAAGTCATTTACCACATACCAACAAATCTTAACTTCGCCTTAAGAGTTCGTCTGTTACACATATTGCTGAAGCTGGCCGTTGGGATCCACATTAAGAAGTTTAATTTATGTGCTCACAAGAAGAAGCTAGTTCAGACATTGTCCTTACGCGCTTAGCCATCTAGGTTTGAGTGATCCTCAATTTGTTTTGTAGAAATGTTCTTAATTTTGGTTGATATTCCATTTGCCATCATATATTTATTGTTATTATTATGAATGAATGAACTTTAATGATGACTTGTCAAGTGAGATTTTATTCCAAACACTTTCCAGGAGTATATGAAGAGCGTTTTACGCAGCATACCTGTTTGCAATTCTCTGGCCGACGAATGATTGGACGCAAACGAAGGATAGGATTGATAGTTTTGCCACATCTATGTGCATTTATCAATTCAACTGCACCTGTGGTGACAGTTATATTGGGCGTACTACTAGGCAGTTTAGCCAACCACTGTGTTACTGAACATCTCCCATCATAGTTTGCCAAAGGACAGACAAAAACAATCCGTAGCTCAATTTTGTCACATTTAATTGATAGTGGTCATGTAGTGGAGAAAACGAGAGCTTTTGAAGTAATTCATCAATTCCTCCGACTATTTCCAACAGACTTCGTATTCGTCTACTACACACAGCTGAGGCGATAGGCATTCCAGCAACTATTAAACTTAACTGTGCATTCATTCGAAAGTTCGTAGAGCCATTATCCCTCCTTGGTTCATTAAGATATGATGACTTCTGTACCACCCCTCTCTTATCCTCCCTTAATCTTATCACATCTTCATTAAAAACGTGTTTCATTTACTTCCCTTACAATCCAGCATTACTTAATCGCTTCATTTGTTTTTAGTAGTCTTTATCGACTACTATGTCTCCCTGAACGTTTGTTTGTTTAATCATGCTGTTTTTCATTATTCGTGTTATCACAGATCGCCTCACTTTTTCACCTTTATTATTGTTACAACCATTATTATTATTATTATAAATATCATTACTACTATCATGGTAAATTGCAGAATTAATATTCACCATCTTATTATCCCATAGACAAAACACCATGATTGGTTTGTACTGGAATTTTATTTGTAAACTTATATACATTAGAGTTAAGCCTAATGAGATCTAACTGAAAATACAATATTGTTCGCTTCAACGTGTTGTTCTCAATTAGTATCAGTTCAGTGTAATTATAACGGTCAAATAACCGTTCAGTTGCATCAGAATCACAATATTTCGATTCACAGAAAAACTTGTTTGTTATAAGCAACATCGTTAACCGCCTATCACGACTAGGTTTACGCTTTTATTATTACCCTTATTCTCCTTAATGTCCATCATTTCCAGGAGGGAAAGCAGAAAAAGCACCTTGTTTTATTTTACTTTTGCCAATATTTATGCCTTTAGGCAAATTGCAAAAGCCCCAACAACAAATTACGTAACGTAGAAACAGCGTTATTCGGTTAAGAATCGACATAAAATTAAATAAGTGTTTAGTGACGTCAAATATAATTGACAGGGTTGAATGGAATTCAGCTAAAATTGGACGTTAGTCAAGTTAATAACAGTTGGAATAAGAAGTAAAGATGCAACAAGGGAGTAGGGGAAGAAAATAAGATAATTTGTGGTGAGAGCAGGCTGCTAGCCAATTGGTAGACATTAATTTACGTCAGTGTCTAGGTCACTAATATTGGTCGTGAGAAAGTATGAACAAAGCTGATTCAACAACCAATCACAGCAGACTTAACGTGGGAAAATATGATTCGCAGATAGATGGCTCCATTTTCCGATGTTACCTGAAACAACCAAATAGAAGACTGCGTTTGTCTGCTTCAATAAGCTATAATAATGTACATGAAATACATATAAATACATGCTGGTTTCCGTAATAAAAACGATCTGTTGCCGGCACTTCTCTTCTGTTGTTACAATTTACGAAGCGAAAAACACAGAAAAACTACTTACCCGGTATTAAGGCACATGAAATTCATTGTAGACCGGATGACTAAACAAACTTCCATTTTATGCAGAGTTCACGTTTGTGACATGGGAATTATCATTGCTTCTGCGGTTTGAAGGAGGAGTTTGATTTGTACTCTTTTAGTAAGATTCCCACGTATGATGTAGATAACTTCAATTTTCATTTGTGGGTTAACAAGCTTGATGTTTAGCTTTGGTCAGGTGCTGCAGGATCTTTTTTCTCCTTTATGAAACCATGATGGCAAGTGTTCGACGATACGTTTGGTTAGCGAACGCTGAGTTCAGCCGATACACCGAGCTTTACATGAGCGGGTGAATTATTAGATGCACATTGATGAGGCCAGCAGTGGTAGCTTATCTTTCAACTTCAGGAGAATCACTGGTTTCGTGAAAAAAGCTGGTTGAAGTTCAGCTGTAAATAAGGTTTTCTTACGTGAACGGGACAGTAATGACTCTCCACTCAATTTTAGATTCAAGCAGATAAGTTTTTTTCGGTGGTTTTAGTTGTTTCATGGATTTCGTGATAAGCCGTTCCAGGTAACTATTTTCGAGGAGGATACTTTTCAGAATATTCAGCTCGTCTTCTCTAGTGTCATGGATATACCTTCTGTGGCTCAGTGAACGGATCAGGTTTCTTTTTGTACAAATATAGGCAGCACACTATGAAAGTAAATGAGTTGTCCGTTCCATGTAGGCTTTCTATAGATGGATCTTTTCAGCATTCCACTCTTTCCCACCCTTCTTTATGCCTTTCTTATCCTACTAATACCTATCTAAGCAGTCAATCATTCACATCAAGAGATTTGTGGGGATTTCAACTACGTAATTCAATTTTAGATTTTCCCGTCGACTGATTGGACGGAAGTGATCGGTCTCCATTCGACTTCTTTTGATGATGCTTCGACGAGTAATTAGAAGTTGATTGGTGGCTCTTGTGGCCAAATTTAGCGTTCGACACTATGGTCACTGGGTTCCAGCCTCGGTGGGGGACATCATCACTCACTGTGGAATGCAGATATATCCAGGTGACTACGAGTCCCAAATAGAACGAAATGCGCATCCCGGATTCCACTGCTAGTCTTCATCTACCAAATGACGTCTGATTTCAATCATGGTTTAATTTGAACACTGTTCGATTTCATCCAGAACTAATATCAGTTAGAGAGATTAGTGAAAACTAGGAAGTGCGCACCTCACAATCCTACCAACCACCCCTTAAATGAAGTAGATGCTCACCGAAAGCGCACTGGTGAGCCTAATACTTTATTTCATCACAAGGTTGACAAAGTTGGAATTTTTTTGTATCCCAGTCCTAGTCGCTAAATAGTCAGTAGACTAGTGGTTTCATAATCTCATGTTGCCGAGAGTTCGATGGCTGGGTAAGTGTGCTCAAGAACAGTGCAAGACACGCCTATCTAAGATTCCCTAGTTTCCAACAATCTCTACTAACACCAATATTGGTTTACGACTGGTTACAGGATTCCATCAAGAGCTGATATCAGTTAGAGAACCATTCAAAAACCGCCAAGGAGTACTGGACAGCTTATGTTTTGTCCTAGTTTAGGAATCTTCAGCTAGTGATGATAGCACTGTGCACATGGACTTGGCAGAATTTGGAATTCATGGTCTGGCTAGCTATTGAATTAGGGTCCTTTGTCACCAAAGAGTCCTCAGTTTGAACCATGAACGCAGGTAAGTGCGAACTGACGAAGAGTCATAAACTAGCGTGATGAAACAACTGTCCAGTACTCCGTGGTGGTTTTTACAATACTTCTCTAACCAACGTCAGCGCTAATCATGATGAAATCCTGTAACCGATTAAAATCGAATTCATCATATCAAACAAACAATAAAAAAGACAGAACAATCTTTTTTTTTCTTTAATGGAATGTAAATCATTTTATATCAAAATAAAAGCAGATGAAAAGCACACACACACACCGAATTAGCAATGTTGATTTAATCAATCAAAAGAAAAAAGGAAATGAAGTGTCCTTTCATGGAAAACAGCAAGACTCTCAAGCGATTTCATAACACCATAGAGATCACCATTTCTTTAGAATTTCATAAGCTGAATTCAGCGTAGAATCCTCCTGATGAAATAAGGAATTAAGTAAAGAGAACAAATTGCACATGTGATTCAGTTAGCTATCATAACTATAGTAGTTAATTGTGACTTACTTATTATAAGGGTAGAGTTGAAGTGATTAAATTACAGAAACATTAAAGATTATTTTATAAGTGAATTCATATCAAAAATATCAAGTGTTTCTATAGATGGATCTTTTCAGCATTCCACTCTTTCCCACCCTTCGATAGGGAACTAGATAACCTTCGATCTAATCTCCTTAACAATGGTTATCCTACACGGTTCATTGAACGTAACATCAAGAAAGAATCCGCCCCTAGGCAAATCACAGTTTCAAAGAAAAAACTGTTTATGAGTCTGGCATTCAAAGGTGAAACCATTTCGGAATTCATTAAAAATCGTTTATCTACATGTGTTAAACACACTTTTCCTGCCGCTGACTTGCAACTAGTTTTTACCAGCTGAAATACGATTAGACAATGCATCAAGGATAGATTACCACTTTTGTCCGCATCTATGTGCATTTACTCTTTTACCTGCTCTTGTGGAGCTGTTTATATTGGACGCTGTAAGCGTAACCTTCGAAAACGTGTAGCTGAACACTATCCGGTTTGGTTAATGAAAGGCGAACATAGAACTGCAAAGTCGTTTATTTGTGATCACCTGTCAGAGTCTGGTCTGATCATTTAGCCCCACGTGATTCATCTTTCAAAGTTATCTATATGGTAAAATCGAATCGATCCAAAAGTTTACACGTTTTCCTCACTTATGCATAGCTAGCCGAAGCTTTAGCTATATATACATGAACAGAAACCTAAATTATGTGTTCAAAAGCGTTTTGTCAAACCCTTTTCTTTACCTTGGTGCTAGTAATGTTCTTTCTAGTTTTTATTTTATTTTACCACTTGAATTCATTCCACTTCACTTCACACCTTTATTCTTATCGTAATCGTACTCCTTATTTTCAAAATTTTTACACAACACTTGACATTTTTGTTATCAATTCACTTATAAAACAATCTTTAATAATTTTGTAATTTATCCACTTCAACTCTACCCCTTATAACATTGTAATCATCGTTATTTTTATCACATATATACGTACATTGACTGAGTAATTATTTAGTCCCAGGTACATCTGTCTCCGTCTATCTGGATTCAACATAGAACTTAGCACCGAAGTGCACCAGTTCCAGTTGCCACGTTCCAAATAGCACACAAAAGTAGACAAGAAGATGAGTGAAGAGAATCAATAGACTTTGACAGGTATAAGAGCGAAACAGAATGGGTAATGGTAGGAAGAAATATGAAAGATTACAGAGACTGAATATATCTGCGCCACTGACAACGATTTTGAGCCATGTCATCACTTATTGTCTCCAGCCAATCATTCCTAGAGTCCCGAGGGCCCCAACCCGGAAGTCTGCATCTCCCTACCTAACCGACTCAGTTTAACTGTCAAGGATTTCATGGATTGATGAGGCCATGTTTTTGTTTGGCCACCACTGGCTCTTTTCCAACCTGCACCTATATCAGCTAGTAATGTCCGTCGGGGGAGGCGATGGTTAGGCATGCTTTGTGACACTATGATGTATTTAGAAATAGTTATTTGTCAAGCCTAATTTTATCAATAGTGTGAGTAATATAATACACTATGGCTCGACCACCATTCTCAGTCTATCCAAATGCTTGACTCATAAACAGATTGAAATAATATATATATATATATATATATATAATATTAGATGAGTTGGGTAACAAGTGAAACCTCAGCTAATAATCACGAAAAGAAGTCGCGCGCGGTATATCGTGAATTATTGGCAGAAATTGGAATTCACGGCCGTTGGTCATCGGGTCGGAATGGGTCGCAATGGCTGCTTGATGGTCTACAACCTGACCACCTTGCACCTTGCGGTTCCTAGGTTTGAAACCAGTTGGTGAGTGATAACTGATGAGCAGTCCCCTACTAGGATGAAACAGCTGTCCAGTACACTGTAGTGGTTTTCCAATGGTTCTTTAACCAATGTAATGGACACCTTTCACCTACCTTTCCATGTATGAGACTCTACAATGCTACGCCCTCACCGGGGTTCAGAAATCCAGAAGCAAAAATTGATTATGAGAATATGCGGTACTTGACTGATTCTTTATTAGACTTGATCATAAACCAAAGGGAGAAAATTACTGCGAATCAAACAGTACTACACAAATATTTCCCCTGTATTTAGGAACAATTTAGCAATGATTTATTTACTATTATTATTGTTCCCCTGGGTACTGAATGGAATGTAGATGTCTTCAGTAGAACATTTTAATTTCACCCTGTTCTCGAGAAACCTTTACTAGCTAGCTTCACAATCGTCCACAGGCTTTCATGTCTTCCTCATTCGAAGGTCTGGCGAGTGATGTCAATCAACAGTTCATACAGTGTATGTCCAATCCACTTCTATATTCTACTGCAGTAGGTTATTACGATTGAAATAGAGGCGAAATTATTTTATTATGATTTTTGCTTTTATTTTTGATTACAGCTTGATTCCACAGCGTATTTATGGTACACGTATGGAATTTTCAGCATGTAATAATTTTGCAGGCCAACCATAGATATCAGGTGTGAATCGGCAGAGGATCGAACTCCGGACCATGTGTATGATCGGCGAGAGTCCTAACCGCTGTACCACCGAATTACAAAATTTCTTGATGAGCATTTTATCACCAATAGATAAATGTTACCCTGGCCAGAAAACACAGAAAAGTGATTCTGTAGACGTAAAAACAACAGTATCTACAATGATGGATAATAATCATACAACTCTGTCAACTTTGACATAATTTAGGTTACTCACCCCATAAAAAAAGTTATTTGCCTGAGCACGACTCAAGAGTTCTGACAGACTGACTGACTGACTAGTTTCAACATACAAATTTGAAGAAGTCGCACTATATCCTGAATTTATTGGCAGAATTTGGAATTCATAGCCGTTGGTCATCGGGTTGGGTCGGGTCGCAGTGGCTGCTTGATAGTCTACAACATCACCACCTTGTAACCGATAGTTCTTAGGTTTCAAGCCAGTTGGATGGTGTGTACTGATGAAGCGTCTTTTACTAGGATGAAACAGCTGTCCAGTACTCAATGGCTATTTTTCCAATAGTTCTCTAACCAATGTCAGCGCTAATCATGCTGAAATCCTGTAAGCAACCAATCAAAATCCCTACAAATCAACACTTGAATATCAATTTGATGCCCACTAGTGATTGTGTTCTAGTGTGAAGTCAGGACTAGTGGGGAACAGAAGATCGGGTGTGAGGACAAATACTCGCCAGAGATGACACTGGCTAGTGCCAGTCACACTAATATTGTGAATTAATTATATTGGTAGTAGTTGGAATTCATGGACTGACTGACTGACCATTAGATCTGGTCTCAGTGACTGACGAATGGTCGGTCTACGATCTCACCAGGCAACCGAGAGGTTGTGGGTTCAAACCCTGGCAGTGGGTACCTATTTTTGAAGAGTCCCAACCCTAGGGTGGTGAAACAGGTGTCCAGTACTCCGTGGTGGTTTCCCAGAATAGTTCTTTAACCGATGTCAGTTTGAACCCAGTTGGATGGTACATACTGATGAAGAGTCCCACACTAGGATAAAACACATGTCCACTATATCATAAGATTATAGGACAATTAGAGAAAAATATCAAAAATACTTGTTTTAAAAGATTGAAATTTCAGATACATATATTCATACAAAAAACAACTGAGAGAATTTACCTTGAAGAAACAAAATCGCAAGTATTTCGAACCGAGATGTTGATTGGATTCAGAGTAGAATACACTCATCGGAATTGCAGAAACACCCTGATGATAATAATTACACAGGAAAAACAATAGTAACAAAGTTGTAGAAGTTGGGAGAAAAATGGAAATGGAAAAAAAATTTTCTCGGTGGTTCATTCAGTCGTAGAATATAATCACCACTTGAGTGGTTGGTAAGGAGATCAACTCCTGACCGATGATGCACCCCTCACAACTTCGCCTACTTGACTAGCTCACTAGTTTTTTTTCTAGCCTATCCCAACGGCCGGGTGAAGATGGACGGTTGGGTGTGTGGGACTATCGACACTACCTCCACAAAACTAATCAAGCTGCTACAGAAACTGCAACGAACAGAAAATATGCAAGCTTTCTGTGTGGAGGTCAACAGCACTCAGCATGAAAAAGTAAGATCCAGATTTTCAACTCCAATGTGAAGTCAGTACTACTCACTATGTGGTGAGAGCAGGCTGCTAGCCAATTGGTAGACATTAATTTACGTCAGTGTCTAGGTCACTAATATTGGCCGTGAGAAAATATGAACAAGGCTGATTCAACAACCAATCACAGCAGACTTAACGTGGACAAATAAGATTCGCAGACATATGGCTTAACTTTCCGAGAAAAACAAAACAACCAATCAGAAGACTGTGTTTGTCTGCTTGAATAAGCTATAATAATGTACATGAAATATATATAAATATGTGCTGACTTCCGTAATAAGAGGATCTGTTGCCGGCCCTTTTCTTTTGTTGTTACAACTATACAGATCAGACACTTGGCGCCACGCTGCGTCACGAAGGCCAATTCGAACACACTACACACCATCATCAATAGCTGTCTTCGCTCAATACTACTCAAGATCAGATGGCCGGCCAAAAAAGATGAGCAACAGGGATCTCTGGCAATGAGCGCGAACATGCCCCCGGCAGGAACCAATTGTGTAACAAATAAGCAAGAAGAAATCGATGTGGATTGGCTGGCCATACTCTGAGAAAACAAACCATCATCAAGTGACATCACCCACAATGCAGACCGTCACTCGAGTGGAACCCGACCGAATGGGAACCGGCGAGCCAGTTGGTCGTCAGTGCAAGGGTGACATGGAGGAGGAGAAGGTGATGTTAAGAGGAGATGAGAGCATGTGGGCAGACGATGAGTCAGGTGAAAAGGTTAGCGGTGAACCGAACGCAATGAAGACGTGAGGTTGAAGCCCTATGTTCATCTAGGAATCAAAGGAAACAACCATAATAATAATAATAATCTTAACTGTTTTGTCAAAATTCAAAACTGACACTCACTTTCTTTTGCATCATCCAATTGTTGAATTTAACATCATATGGTAATAATTCATTTTTCTCTAATTCATTTGAGGGAACGTCTAAAAAACACAAAATTAAAAAAGTAAGAAAGGAAATGGAAACCCCCTTAAGAAAATTTGTAGGCTTACTGTAAATTTTCAAATGTGTAACTAACGTCTATATCTCATTAATTCATCGGGTTCGAGGAGAATATCAGCCAACTCAGTGTAATACAATACACCAGCCAGTTCTCAGGAGAACAAACACACGCACGCACACACGCACGCACAAACACACTTTTCACCCTGGTGTATTCACAGTTATCACCATAACTGTCTACACTGATCAGATTACCATCCAAGGATCTTATGGATTGATGACACAATCTTGACTTAACTGACCTTATTACAGAAAGTTAGGGAAAAAAATTGTGTCCATAAACCCCTGATTTCACTAGTCTTCATGACTAGATAAAGCCAGTCCGGACAAATTTAAATCATCATACCGACGTAGAATACGCAGAATGATAATACCCATTCAACAAGCTTGAAACCTGAAATTATCCAATCAATACTAACTAGTCGTTTGTTGGCTTAACTTTCTGAGGTATGTTGTATTTTCATAAAATGTATTGTTGTAAAATACAAGTCACTCGTCCACACCAACTTGGACAAGCCTGTCCTCTATCTTTATTTGTCATAGCCTATGAGGTGTCAAAGGTGATTAGCAATTAGTATCAGTATTCGGTCCTTCGGACGACTTTACTCCCGGTGTATCGAATCCTAGTCGCAGTACTGTCATGATCGTCGTGCCGTCATCACATTGTTCTCAAACACGAACATCAGTAGTGGGTATATCGTTTACATTAAATCCGATACAATGTATTTCGAATTCTCTTGAATATTGGCGGCCTGTCTGTCTGTTTTCGACATAGAACTTTGCACCGATGTGGCGCAGTTCAGGTCGCCACACTCCATGCAACACACAAAGCAACAGAAGAAAGTAGAAGAAATGCATAATAGAGACAGTAAACAGAGGTCTGAGACAAAGGAAGAGTAATAACGAAGAACAAACAGTTTCATTGGAAATCATAAGTCACAAGGAGTGGATGCATCTGCGCCAGCCATTGAGAACGATTTCGAGCCATATCACCGATAATTTCCAATCATTGGTTTTTACCGTCCCGAGGACCCCAACCAGTCAGGAAGTCTACACCTTCCTACGTGACTTAAACTAACTGTTGTGGATTTCATTGACTGGTCAGGCCATGTTTTGGTTTGACCGCCGCTAGCTCTTTTCCAGCCTGACTAATCCTACGTCAGCTAACATTGCCTGTTGTCGAGGAAGGCGATGACTAGGCATACATAACACATGTCCTAACCATCTCAGTCGATACAATTTTACAGCCTCGTCGTTTTGTTTTTCATTCACTGGGAAATACAAAAGCCTTTATTATAATGAATATCATATACCCAATGCCCGATTGCCTCCAACCATACAATACCACCAATTCACAGTGCACCGTGATGGCAAGTCAAACAGCATGGTGGCCACATGGCAAATGTAACTGACCGATAGAATTCAGTCTGCACCAAATACAGGACTAGACACACTACACTAGTTACTGACTAGTGTTCAATCTATTCTATCTCCAGCAAATTTGTGCATCAACAGCGCAGCGGTAGAATGCTCACCGATCACGCCTCATGTTGTCCGGGGTTCAATCCCCAGCCACCGACTCCCTCCTTTACCTCGCTGAAGTAGAAATAAAAAGTTGCACAAGAGGAAAGGTTACGCATGAAGCTAGCAACCCCATCCTGTAAAAATAAACACTACCGCTACAGCAACTTCAAGCCTCCAGCTTGAAGGAGCCATATGTTCCACTTGGAATGTAAAGGAACGAAGAGAGAAGAGATTACACACGCATACACACACACACACACTCAAGAAAAGCAACATTAGAGTGGATATAAACTCACTCATTTTAGAGATATCTGCTACGAGAAAATAACCACCAGTTGGTCTAACGGCAATCATTCCAATTTCATTCAACTTTTTTACCATATTACGACCTTTTGGTTCAATTAAGGAACACATTTCACTGAAATATGATTCAGGTTTATGCAGTAGGGGTAATTCAATCTCTAAACTACGCGCAACAGCCTCCTTAATAAAAAAGAAGAAGAAGAATACAAGAAGAAAGAGAGAAAACAAACACATCAACAACTTTAAGGATATGAGTAGCATTCAAAATTTTGTTGTTGTGAGAGTTGTGAGCACTTTCTAGAAGGCTTAAACTGAAATAAGTAGTCGAATTAAGGGACTATTCCTCGTGAATTTTACGTGTAATAATAATAATAGTAATAATACTAATCTACTTTATTCCAAAACAAACCGTACTTAAAATAGAGAATGGAATTCTCGGCATTTGTGACAATATTGCATCTGATTTACAATCAAATCATAAATACAATTGACATAAAATCAACCAGAGGAATTTGTCAACATTTACGGTAGGAATAAAGTCAAAAATATTCCAAGTACAATATGACAATAATAAATATAATAATAATAATAACAGTGAGTTTGTTTCAAACAGTATTGTTGATTCAGTTTGAAAATTTTAGTATGTTATCGATTATTGAATCTAATGTTCCGTTGAGGGGAAGGACAGACAAATGACTTTTATTACACAGCTTAAATGATAAAATAAACAAAAACAAGAAATTCAGAGGATTATGAGTATACGAAGAAAAATAGCAATAAAAATTGGTGGAATAAGGGATGGAGAAAATGGTTCATTTATAAGTACAAAGAGGGTTAGGCAGTTCATGCCTAACACTATTTTCATCACATGAAATGGTGTACCAAAAATGATACAGTGGAATTTTTATACTTAAACGTACGTGCATACAGCCATCTGGAATGACCTTCATTCACTCAAACAAACTCATATTGTTACACAACACATTGTAAGTATACACACAACCACAAAGAAAAGTACAACAATGTGCTGCATCGGTGGCACAGTGGTCAGGACTCTCGGAGACCATGCATATGGTACGGGGTTCGATCCCCTGCCGACGAAGTATACCTGATATCTATGGTCGACTGGCAAAATATGGGCTACCGATATCACATGCTGAAAATTCCATACTTGTACCAAAAATACAGTGTGGAATCAAGCTGTAATCAAAAATTAAAGATTATACAAGGAAACAGGCAAATAATAAATTAACATGTAACACGTGAAGGTCAAATGAATGATACACAGTTTAGGAGAAATACGTATATTAATTACAAGGTTAATAGAACTGTCTGGATAAGTATAAATGCCATAAATAGATAGTTCAGTACAGGATTTCCCGAACAATCTGTCTGTTACAATCACACACAGTAGAGAGTTCACACACACACACCAAACTAGAAAAACGAGATGTGATGAAAAAAAACACGAGGGGTAAAGAAAACAATTCAATGAGGATCACTGAAGTTCAAAGATTCGAAGATGAATATATATATATATATATATATATATATATGAATGTGAATGTACTTCATTCTGTATGATTCTGAGTAATTTCACCATGATTCTCCAATCACTGATTCGTAACAACACCCTGGAGGCGTAAACTCACCACCTCCTCCTCTACATTCCTTTAAGTTGTTCAAATCAGAAGTCAGAGACTTAGTGTCATTTTTCGTCCTTTCCTCCAATCTAATTCAGCTAACATTCTTCATCTTACTTACTTTACTTTACTTCGGCTATCTCGAATCATCGTTGCCCAGGCGCGGCGATCTGATGCATGGTTTTGCGACAGGGTTATCCAATTCTTGTTCTACAGACGGAGTCCGTAGACGATTTGTAGCCCCAGCCCAGGCACTCCATATCAGCCTTGACTGTACCAAGCCATGTTTTCAGCTGTCCACCCCTGCGACATCCCAAGATGGAAATCGCGAGGGATTTAGAACTGATTTGACCAGATCGTCATCTGGTCGACGCAGAACATGGCCAAACCACCGAAGGCGACATTGTTGGGCCAGTACTGGAATTTGGTTGATGTTGTAGAGAGTTCATGAAGTTTCAGGGAATTAGGTACGAGTGATGTCCCCAGATCTCTCGGCCTTTTGTTTGAGAGTGCAGCTATAGCCTTTACACAACCAAGTGTGACCTACAAGGCAGTAGGAGTGGAGTAGGGAGTCCACTATCCATTGGCAGCCGGTGACCGGAGTCCGGTTCATACGCCTTTTTGAATGGGGCCAGACATCCAGGGCATCCAACAAGCCCTTTGTCCATACGTCTGCCGGTGAGCTCCGGTGAGCTTCATACGCCAGTCGTTGGAGGTTTGGAATCAGGGTTTAGCCATCTCCCCTAGACTATCATCCAATGGACAGTCAACCCGGTGAAGAGCGCCGGGCATCCGCTCTCGCCCTCTTACTTCGGTGAAAAATACCTCCACCACGTGAAGGCAGTGAGTAGGACTTCCTCAGGAGAGGCTATGTAAGACGCCCGTCATATGGGAGCATTTCAAGAGGTGTACGGAGGGGTGGCCAACCCGCAGCGCAAGGCACCCACCCCCGACCATACTGAGGCTTTGGAGGTATTCTTCATCGAGGATGACAGTCAGTAAGACACGTCTCAGCCACTCCAATTGAAGAGTGCTGGTAATCTTACTGTTCAGTTTAGCATACTCAGACAACAGTGTACATGTGTAATCTCAAAATCACACACACTAAGCGCTCCACTTTAGATGAGCAATAAAGTAAAAAACAAAACAATTAGTTGTGTTCTCTTAGGAGCTGGTGGGTTTAATTGCGGAGATTTCGTCGCCTGCCCCGCTCTCTAGACATCTTCAGTGCAAGTTTCGGCATAAAGTGAACTCATTTCAATTCTCCACGCGTCCCCTGGTAACCATCTTCATGGCTGGTAGTCGATTTACATCTGTAGTGAACATTTGGTATTGACTTGGATTTTAAACTTTCTCGTCACATGATTTACTATTTTTATTAATTGGTAGATTTGGTCTTTATTAACATGAAATAGATATAGCACACTAGCCAGTCAGCCAACACAATCACTTCATTCGATATTGCGCAAACCAAAAGATCCAACAGGCAAAAAGGATAAAATTAATACCATTTACAAAATGCACTGTATGAACTGTAACAGACATTGCATCGGTCAAAGTGGGTGTCCCCTTCAAATCAGAATCCAGGAACACAAGTCACCTGTGAAGAGACATTCCTGTTTCATATCAATGCATGTAGATAATTATGGATACCAATTTAATTGGACTAATGTAGAAATTTTAAACAGAGGAAACACCAAATGTGCCAGAGAATTCCTAGAAGCCCGGTACTCAAGTGAATCAGCCAGCGAATAACCAAATATACCAATTAATAAAAATAGTAAATCATGTGACGAGAGAGTTTAAAATCCAAGTCAATAAAAAATAATCAATACATACATAAATTGACTACCCCCGACCGATAGCTGCTACCTTAACCTGGTGGTCGGCTTGCACATCGCAATGACCCAACAAGCTACACTGATTGGAACTATTGTTCCTGCGGGTCCTACCATGTCAGGAAGGTTGTTAGGATAGCGCTTAGACTAAAAGCAGTTATCCGCTTCGTGTAGAATTTTTTTGCACTATGAGGGTGGTCTGTGTGAAGCCGTACTGTTGGGGAACGGGGATCCAACAGCACTGAGGTGCTTCCCTCAGATGACCAACATACTAGTTATGCTATCTCTTCCCTCTGGAGATAAGGGGTTAGAAAAGGTCGACCGCAACAATGGTACATTCCAACTTACCGTACGGTGGTCCGTAGACGGCGGTAGGCTTACTAATACGGAACCAAACCAAGAAAACAGTTCATAGAGGCCGTGTGTGACCGGCCAGCACCAAGCAATTGTCCCCTGGGCTCTGGAGTAACGCAGCACTAACCTTCTTTCTGTTTTAGGTACCCAAAGAACCAATCAACTTCCACGGTGTGGGCAGCCTGGAAGTAACAACCGCCCACACACCTCCAAGAGCACACGAACCCCCCCCCCCCGAGAAAGATTGACTATCATCCATGAAGACGGTCACCAGGAGACACAATTCTATCATCATTCATGGAGAATTCGAAATGAGTTCATTTTATGCTTGAACTGACGCTGAAAATGTTGTCTAGAGGGGGGACGAAAGCATCGCAATTAAAACAACCAGCTCCTCACAGAACACTGCTAATTGCAAATCATTCCACCCAAGCTACAAATTTTCTCTATTATTTCGAAGTTAAAAAAAAACATTTGGTAAATATCAAACACGTGTGTATCCATACTAACAGATCATAGATTAAACAATAGATAGGGTTTAGTGTAAGATTTAATAAAAAGCATAATATCACCAAAATAAAAAGAATACTGTACTAATGCATAATATTGATTACTTGTAAAGGTGTTGGACATGTATACACTGTATTCTGTTGATGTAACTGCATTGCTTGAATTAAATTAGCCGGTCCAACTGTCCAGCCTAATTTCCAACCAGTTACACTGAATGTTTTACCAGCACTGCCGATAGTTAAAGTACGCGACCACATACCAGGTAAAGAGGCTAAAGATTAACAACAACAAGAGACACACAGAAAAAACAAAACAAAGTTTAACTGAAGTAAACAATCAATATAGCAAAACCTTCTTAACAGAAGAGAAGATCAAGCTTGATGGATACTTCATAAACTGAGATTTGAAAAATTATCCTAACAATTAAAACTACACGTGAAGAGGATAAATATATTAAATATTCCCATAGTGAAATTTAGAACAACACATTTAAGCGAACAGTGATATTGTGCTTTCAATGGGACCTTATCAGGCTTAACTCTAATATACCTACATAACTTTACAAATAAATATTCAAATATAAACTAATCATGGTGTTTTGGTTATGGGATGATACGATGGTGAATATAAGTTGCGTAATTAGTCATAATAATAATAATAATAGTGGTTTTATCGATAATAAGAATGAAGAAAGTGAGGCAATCTTTGATAATACAAATAATGAAAAACAGCATGATTAAACAAACAATTGTTCAGGTAGACATATAAGTCGACAGAGGCTAAGAAAAACAAATGAACCGATTACGTAATGTTAGATTGTAGGGAAAGTAAATGAGACACGTTTTTAATGAAGATATGATAAGATTGAGGGATGATAAGAAAGGGGTTGGAAATATTAAAACACGGGGTGGTGTAGAAGTCATTCGTTGGTTATGACTTAACAGGCCAAGCAAAGGAGGGATAATGGCTGTACGAACTTCTTTCGAATACATAGTTTAGGTTTGATAGTTCGACTGCCTATCGCCTCAGATGTGTGAAGTAGCGAATACGATGTCTGTTGGAAATAGTCTGTGGAATTGATGAATTACTTCAAAAGCTCTCGTTTTCTCCACTACAATGACCAATATCAACTAAATGTGACAAGATTGAGTTACGGATTGTTTTTGTCTGTCCTTTGCTAAACCACGACGGAAGATGTTCACTAACACAGTGGTTGGCTAAGCTGCATAGCTATCACGTAGGTGCAGTTGAATTGTTAAATGCACCTAGATGGGGCAAAATTATCAAGTTTATCCTTCGTTTGCGTCCCACTCATTCGTCGGCTAGAGAATGACACACATAGGTATTCTGCGTAAAACGTTCTTCGTATAAATGACAAATCAATGTGAAATAACATAGGAGATACGAGATGAGGAAGAGACCAAAGTAGCACAATACAAGAAGAACATATACACGTGAAGATTTCAATGTATTTTGGCTATCACTGTACATATATCAATCGCCCAACTGACAATCCCGTTAGCAAATATAATATACCCAGCTTGTTCTGTTAATTATTAAACGAGTAATACGCCTGCTAGCCCTCTGTTATTAAACTACATGTTACAACGATAAGCTGTAGTTGAATTTGTCAGTATGGATGATAGCTGAAAGCATTTAGCTGGATAATCATGACATGTATCCATATAATAGGTGTGTTTGTTTGACAGTCTGATATATTTTGCTATTTATATATGGATCGATATTCCATTATAATTAGCCAATCATGTTAAGACTGTCTATTGATTTGTTCATTTTGAATATTCGCTCTCACACTTGTGTTCAAACACTTCTTCGGACATTCATATATATTTTTGCTCTCACACTCTTGTGTGACATTGATTCTCCTGATGTTTTGGAAAATAGACGTATCATCGCAAACCTAGTGGTCTTCTGATTTCCGTGTTCCTTGCGTCAGGACTATTAAATTCTCAACTGGTACATAACAAATCACTACACAGTAATATTTTCTTCATGACTCAATGGATACTTCCGAATAAATCTACTGTTTCTACTGTCATCATGAACGAACATTAATGACTAGCTGACTGACAAATTACACAGGGTGAAGGCATCTTTGCCAGCTATTGAGAACGAGAATTTGAAGCCATATCATTAATCGTCTCCGTGCACAGATAATGAGCCCTACGAGGATCCCAACCAGTCAAGCAGTTACATCTTCCTATGTGACTGGCTGGCTCAAACTAACGGTTATGAATTTCATTGGCTGATGAAGTCATGTTCTCGTTTGACTACGACTCTTTTTTGGCTGTTTTCCAACCTGATCTATCCTATATGAGTCAGCTAACATTGGTCGTCATCAAAGAAGGCTATCGATGGGTATACATACATGCGTAACACATCTCTGACCATCTCACTGAACCAAATTAACTTCACAACCTTGCTGACCGATTTTCCCTTCATACGTAACACTCGACTGAAGCCTAACCTTAATACAGCTCCCCCTGTATTATACCACCTAACATGAGAGATAGAAAGCAGACACCTATGAAATTCACCAAAAAGTATGTAAGATCTGAAAACCTATAAGTGAAACAAACCTTCTTCATTCATGCGGGAATAATCAAGAGAAGATTGAAAATTCTCTAGCCTAAAGTTAACCTGCAGTCGATAAATCGATTCCCATTATTGAACAACAAACTGCTTGGTGTAATTACAAGCTGATAGATATCCTTTCCGTGTTAACTCTAATTGTGTATACAAATTTACATGTATGTACGAGAGGCATATCTCAGATTCTCTGAACATGTACCAAAAAAGTTTGTATCTCAAGAGAATCCATGCTTTGAACAGTGCTACAGCCAGACATTGTGTTGATACGGGTCATCAGGTGGACATCGCGAAATCCTTTAACAATTATTAACAGACAATACAACTCAAGTCTCATAAAATTTTCCGTAGCAATCACTATTAAACCTTTAAATCTTGATTCACCATGGAGAATTTAAATGAATTCATTTAACTATTGTAAGACCTACGCTGGTTGATGATGTTGTCTAGAGGGGGGGGGCGAGGGAACGGACGAACGCTTTGGAACTATATTACCAACCAGCCCCTAAGAGAACATTCAGTTAATTCAATATCATCCACGTGAACTACAAATCTTCTCCATTACTGTCTTGTTAGCTTCATTCTTTCTGAAGGTACCCACTTCTTTTCACTTGTTACCCAAAACTCAGTTATAATTATACCAACCAGCTGCATTTCAGAGGTCTCTTGATCCAAATAAACAAATATTTTAGGAGGTGCTATGTGAACAGCTAACTCTCCCTGTCAAAGTCTACACCAGTCAGCTTTTCAGAATTGCTTACCAGGCTAACATACCATGCCACGGGAAATTTCCCGTAAAAGAAGTAACAAATTAACAAGAGTTTCTGATTGTCAGTATATGTAGACAAAGAGCACATGATAGATGATCTAGTCTCCATGTCATCTCCTTCCTGTAAGTCACTCAACAATAAGCCGCATTTGACCTAGATTTCTTATATATATATATTCGACAACACATCTCCACTTCATTCTGTTTTCTGCCGTCCTCTTCAGTTGTCTATTCCCACGATCGACAATAATCTCTCATCTCCTCCTCGCCACACGATCTCCTCTATGTCACCCTAGCACCGACGATCCACTCATCGCTTCCCATTGGGGTTCCATTCGAGCGATGACTTTGCACGCGATGTAATTCAGAGGCCTACATAGTGTATACCCGATCCATCTCCACTTCCTTGCTACAACATTTTTGTTGAGAGGTCGGCTCTCGCCTTTTGGTTTGTTCCCATAGTTGCCTGTTGTTCATTCTTCCTGCCTGGCTATTTGGTCTTCAGTATGGAGACAGCGATGAAAGTCTGTAACAGACTGTTGGAAATTCTTATCTTGACACGCTGGTCAATTTTCTGACCCGTAGAGAAGATTGAAACAATTAGTCTCTTTGATAAATTTTAATAAGGCATTTAGAAGACAAATTTCGCCGCGAGATGATATCGTCATTTCAAAGTTTCTTTACAACCACTTTACAACTAACATATGGTTGGGTCACAATAATAAAATAAATTTCATGACAATAACTCAGCTAAATACAAAAACAAAAGTACATACTAATGCCCAATCATATTTAGATAGGTCATGTTGTCCATGGTAGGTGAAGATTGAAGTCTATTGTTTTTTGTACACAGTTTAGGCTGTATGTGATGGTCATATAGAAGAACCGACTGACTTGACATTGGTGTTGAAAATGTGAATCTTCCTCCTTATGCTGAGTGTGAGAGATTGCCAAACTGATTTCAGGTTGATGGAGGCGTGTATCTTACCTTGCCTTTCCGATTCTGACTTTAACATCATCCAATCCGTCTGTAGTTGGAACGGTGTTTCCTAACCGGATAAGTGAAGGAAGTCGTCTCCGTTAAAACTATCCCCTTGATAGTGGTTGGTGGCTGGTTGTCGCTGTTACTGTCGGTAGTGGTTAGTTATCTTCATCACTTTCGTCTTCGCCATGTTCACTTGCAATCCTGTTTTTCGCTACCTGTCTGTCAGTCTCTTCAACCATTTCGTTGGTTTTCGCTTGCGAGTCTTCGAGTTTATGTGACATGAGACGTATATCATCCACACGCGAAATCCAGATCATCTAGAGTCTTCTTATCGGTCGCCCAGCGTATTCCTGACTCCTCGTCCCCAACAGTCTGACACTACATACTACTTGCACTATGCAGTTTAAAAAGACGACAGAACCAACAGTCTATAATTTTCCAACGTATACTGCTATCCCCAAGTAAATGATAGTAAAATGTTTATAAAGATGGTTGCGAAACAGAAACCCTAGGAATAAATGAATGAATAAATTAATCTGCTACTCGCTAGTAACTGGTTGAAGGACCGAGTTGTCTGAAGCTCTTTCTAGTAAGAAGTTGTAACCAGTAGGGTTGGGAGTGAGAACAAGTACTCATCACCGATGACAGTGGTTGATACCAGTCGCACCACTAAAATCACAAACTGGTAAAAGTGAGAATTCATGAGTCAGCTGTTGAGTCGGATCCCAATGGTTGAATGGTTTACAACCTCGCCGCCTTGTAACCGGAAAGTCCAGGATTCCAAACCCAGCAGATGGATACTGTCAATGAGTCCCAAGCGCTAGAACGAACACAACAGTTGCCCAGTATACTCCAGTGCTAACTTACAATGATCCTCCAACTGATATCAATCTGTGATCATACGTAAAGCCAAAACAAATAACTTTGTGAGTGACACAAGATGTCTACTTGAAGAAAACACAACACAACTGGGATAACTTACCAATTTTAATGTGTTTGTTAGGAGGAAATACCAACCATTCATAGACTTCATCTGAAATGCATACAAGATTATGACGAATGCATATATCAGCAATAGATTTCAATTCTTCCCTGTTGAATACCTTAAACAAGAAAATAGATGTAAACAGAAAATTGAATAGTTTTTTTTTATAAAAGACTGAGTTTATATCTGTTAATAAATATGGGTGATTTACTTCTGCAATATATTTCAAACAATCTGCTGACACCAGTCAATTCAACTTACATGGACAATGAAGGGTTAGATAAAAAAAAGGTATAATTATTTGGGATTTAAGAGTCGGAAGAGTAATTATCGATGCTACACTCTCAGTGTGAAACTTAACGTGTCACGTAGAGGAATTCCATCAGGCTGTTGAAGACAACCCCCCTTTGCTGGCTCCATACTTCAGATGAAATGGTCAGCCAGCCGCCAGAAATAATTAGCAATAAGAATACTCTGGCTGAGAACAAACTAACCAAGAACCGATCGCTAAACAAATATACAGCAGAAAATAGAGATGGATTGGGCACATGCTCCTGAGGAGACTGGAAAATGACATCACGCTCAATGCAGGCCATCTATCGAATGGAACTGGAATGTGGAAGGCGGTGAGTACGTTGTCAGTGCAAGGGTAACATGGAAGAGATCGTGTGGTGATGATGAGGAGATAAGAGACTATGGGCAACCGTGGGGTCAACCAGATGAAAAGGACAGAAGAAAATGGGACAAAGTGGAGACATATTGTTGCAGTCCTATATTCTACTTGGAACCCAAAGGGAATAATATTATACTGACACACTCCCGGCAATGCCCGGCAGTTCGCTGCCTCCTCCGTTATGGCTGTGAGACGTGGCCATAGAGAGTGGACGACATGAGAGACCTGGCTAGTTGTCTTTGATTATAGTTATCTGTGTTCTATCTCCCATGTGAAGTGGTATAACAGAGTGAGCAATATTGAGGTTAGCCTTCTGTCGAGTGCAGACAGGAGGGAGGGGAAATCAATAGACGAGGCTGTGCAGCCACATCGACTGAGATGGTTGGGACATGTGATACAATTGGTGTCACTGCCAGAATAGAAATGGAAATCCCATGGCCTACAGTTTCAAAAGAAGAAGACATATGGATCTTCTTGAAGGACTTCAAGGCTGTTGGAGAGTTGAATGGCGTTCAAAAGCTGTCAGTGAAGATGCTTTTACTTGGAACTCTGCTGAGAGGTCAGGCGAAGGTTTTATATGATAGTGTAGTGCGAATAGAAGAGCAAGTAACCTGGAAATCAGTAGCTGAACGCTTGAAGGAGGAGCTTGACAGTCCGATGGACAGAGAGCGGGCTAAGGAGCAGTTGCGTATCAGGAAACTGGGAGTTGACAATGATCCTAGACCATTGGCACTGACTCTGCCAAACTTACTGCGTCTCGCGCTGCCAACACTGGACGAAGATTCTGAGGCACAATTGTTAGCGTCTCAGTTTATGGAAAGTGTTTTAAAACGCATATCGCGATAGCTACACCCGATTCACGTCATACAGACCAGACAACTATTAAGCAAGACGATTGCCACGAGAGAGGCATCAAAAGCTGTTATGTACTGCTGCTCAGTGAATTATTAGAGTTTTCCCCGTCGCCAATTCTGTTATGTACTCGTCGAGTAGTTAATAGTCCTGACGCGAAAAGACGGAAATCAGAAGACCACCAGGTTTACGATGATACTTGTATTTTTCAGACAAGGAAAATAAATGTCACACAAGTGTGTGAGTGAATGGTACGAAGTGTACGAAAAAGTGTGTGAACAAGAATCTAATAAAAGTGTACAAAGCAAGAGTATATAAGAAAATGGCTAATACACATGAACCAATAAATAGACACTCTTAACATGATTGGATGTAATGTCATGTGACAACAAGGTCATACATGTTTATTTAGTTAGTGGACAGACAAAAGCATATTGTCAGTTATAATGAAATATCGATCCATATACACACAGCAAAATATAATAGACTGTCAAAAACAAAACACACATCATATGAATACATATCAAAAGCCCAGCAGTGTGAGCAACAAACTGAAGAGTTGCAGTGTGTGATTTCGGTTTACGTCAAACGATATGAAATAGAATGTTAAAATATACATGGTATTCTGTTGCCAGTGCAGTAGTGAACTGTGGAAAAAGTGTTATGTCACCTAATATCAAACAGTGTTCAAATAGATATATCGTATTCTTAGAAAGAAGAGAACACGAAGTTCAGCAAAGATATCTTTCCGACGATTTCATTTTCAAAAGCTGTACAATCGAATTTAAAAACATATATATTTTGATGTGGTTTTGTTCTCTGAGCTGGATGGTTAGTTTGCGAAGCTTTCATCACCTTACTGGGTGACATCTTCAGCGCATACTTCAATTTGAAGTGAGCTTTTAGATTTCTCCACGAGTTTATTAATCCTCTCTCCTGGTGACCTTGGACGTGATTGGTTGTTTGTGTGTGTTTTCACACCTTCTAGGTTACTTGTATTGGAACTGATTGTTTCTTTGACTTGAACTTTGACCCTTTGTGTGTGTGAAGTTTCTTTCTTATTGGTTGATAAATTTTGTCTATCTCGATGTGTCTATTGATTGATGATTCACTGGAATGCCAGGCTTCTAAAAATTCTCTAGCATTCTTATTTCCTTTGTCTAATATTTGAACGTTGTCCCAGTCGAATTGATGTCCGTGGTTGTCTGTGTGTAGTGAAATGAGGGAGTGGATATCATGTCTTTTGACGGCTAGCTTATGTTCGTGGATACGAATATACGTGGATATATATATATATAAAACTTGGGCACTGTGGTAGTAAGTAATTCCATATTAGTTTGTTTATTAGATGTATCACACAGTGAAACAGGATTATTACATACTGGATGACAAGGTTTTGACAATTGTGATGTCAATTGATATGATAATGAACAATAAATTTTGTTCAAAACCTTGTCATCCAGTAAATAATACCGAATTTAAACACATAATTTTACAAAAATACAATTTTTACTTGATTCCACAAAATTACGAAGACAAATAAAAGCTGATAATTATTTTCAACTAGATATGGTTTTTGCGAGAGGCTTGCTTAGAAACAAAATTACACAGGATTATAACGAATTACAAGTGTGTATAGAAAATGAGCATGGAAACAAATTGAAATATCAACTTTCAACTTGAAATGAAGTTAGGAGGTGTGAATATGGATTACAAGAGCCGTAGAAACAAAAATTAAACAGGATTAAAATATAATTGTAAAATAGTTATTTTAAACGAATTGTAAATGTGGGCAGGACAAACATGGAAACAAACTTAAGACAACTGTTCTTATAACTGGAAAAAATCGGATGAATCGAATGAAGACAAACAGGATAAGAATCCCAGCGAACGAAAAAACGATCAAAAAAGAACGAAAAAAAGAGGAAAAAAGAGGTTAAGGGAACGTACCAAACTAGGTTCATGGTAGTAGTAGGGGTTGCATTAATTTCTTTTGAACACACGGTTTCTCGATGCATATTTCAAGGGCTTCTTCAGTACAAATAAGTCGGAAACATACTGATATTGGTAGATTTCTGTTGACTTTGTAAACTAATATATGTGTAAAACTTGGGCACTGTGGTAGTAAGCCATTCCATATTAGTTTGTTTATTGGATGTATCACACAGTGAAACAGTATTATTATTTACTGGATGACGTTTCAAACAAAATTTATTGTTAATAATCATATCAATTGTGATATGATTGATACAATTGATATGATTATGAACAATAAATTTTGTTCAAAACCTTGTCATCCAGTAAATAATAATACTGCTTCACTGTGTGATACATCCAATAAACAAACTAATATGGAATGACTTTGTAAATTACTTTGAATAAATCAGTTGAGATGTTGTGGGAGATGTTGATCAGATGTTCAATAATGACACTTCTGTGGCTTGGTCATGTGCTGTGAATGTCATCCCAGAGGAGGGTTCCGTACAGGTTTCTGTTCGCTAGCCAACCCTGGGACGGGATGGAAAAGGCGGAGAGGTGGTCAGTCCATGACGTGGCATCGTGGAATGAAGGATTTTTGTGCTAGATTAGCATCGGTTGGTGTGTCACGACTCCCTGGTTGGGGTCTGAGAGATAGCTTGAATCGATGACTCGAAACGTTATCGGATATGGCCAAGAATCGTAATCAATGGCGAAAGTGTTGAAATTTCCCTCTTTCATCCCTTCCCGATGATCGTTAAAGAATACTATTTGAACTTGTTAAGCATGACTGTTTTCCTTCCAGATGAAGTTCTTTATCCGTTCTCTACTTATATTTTTTTCTTTTGATCTATGTTGTTCTATTGTTATTATTATGTGGTGCATCATTCTTGGTGGCATATGGTACCGAGGTTTTTATGCGTTTAAATCAAATAAACTAATAAAAAAATGGCACTTCTGATTGATTGGACCGATGCCTCCTCTTTCCAGCCACGTTGGGTGATGTTCTTTGACACATTTTGAAAAGACGTGCATACAACTACCAATGTACCTAGCTCCGCATGAGCAGATCGAATGGTATATGCACAGTGAATTGGTCATATGCGAGATTTTATCCTTCGCATTGTTTCTAGGTATTGTGCGTGCATCGTATTCTGTTGCTAATGACCGAATTGAACTGTAGGAATATGTGAGAATAATATTCGATCGGCACACAACATTGTGTGTATCACAACACCACAGTATAATTTAAAAAATCATCGGCTCAACGTAAAAGTCTTTCAGACATAATATTCACTAAAGGATATACACATAGATAAAATAGATATTTATGAAGAGTAAAAAAGAAAAAGTGGAACATAAACTCACCTTTCCTAAAGGATTATGAGGAGTATTCAACAGTAACAGCTTGGTTTTTGATGTAATCTTTGATTCTAACTCCTTCATATTCAACCTCCAACAGTCACTAGTCAATTCTTCGCCAGCGTTGACTTCCTATACAAACAAAAAATGGAGTAGAAAGGTAATAGGTACACATATTGTAGTTTAGATTAGATTACTTTTTTTCATTAAGGTGCTTGTTTATTTTAACCTGAAGTTTTCGTGGTTTTCGATTCACTGTGTGGAATATCATCCATCCATCGAGTGAGGGATTGGTGAAGAGTTTTCAAAACAGGCAAAAAAGAACAGTTGTCTATTTGCTTTTCTATTTTTATCGAGTTTTTTCCACTGAAAAAGGTTAGTAAAGCAATCTGCCTCAAAACCATTCAAATGCATAAAAACTGATAACTGTGACTGACTGGTTTCAGCATAGAACTTTGCATCGATGTGCAGCAGTTCAAGTCACCACATTCTTTTTGTGGAGCACACAAAGCAAGAGAAGAAGAAAGCAAAAAGAAATCCCAAATCGAGAAAGGAAGCAGACATGAGACAAAAAGAATAGTAGTGACGAAGGAAAATACAGTTTTATTGGGTATTATAAGTCACAAGGAGTGGATGATGCATCTGCGTCATGATCAAGAATGATTCTGAGCCATATCATCGATTGTCTCAAGCTCCTTATTGGTGTTTACCGTCACGAGGACCCAACTAGGAAGTCAGTTTACAGTTGCCTACATGACTGGTCGGTTTAAACTAACAGTTGTGGATTTCCAAGTGTTGGTTTGTAGGGATTTCATTGCTTTCAGGATTTCATCATGAGCTGACATTAGTTAGAGAACCATTGGAAAACCTACAGGGAGTACTGGATAGCTGTTTCGTACTAGTTTGGAACTCTTCAGCAGTACTCACCCACCGCCATGGTTCGAACCCAGGACCTTCCGGTTATAAGGCGAAATCGTATACCATTAAGCCACTGGGACCCGATCCAATGGTCCTTGAATTCTAACTTCTGCCAATTCACGACATAGCGCGACCGCTAGACAATGTCTTCGGGGGCGAGTATTTGTCCTTCACACCCGACCCGCTGCACCCTACTGGTCACAACTTCCCACTGGAACCCAGGTAACTACCTACCTGAATAGGGTCAGTCGCCAGTGAGCATCTCGTGGATTTCATTGACTGATCAAGCCATATTTTGGTTTGACCACCACTGACTCTTTTCCAACCTGACGCTATATAAGCTAACATTGCCCGTCATCGAGGATGGCAAGGGCTAGACATGTATGCGTAACAACACAACCGCCAGCTATACTGTCATCAATGAGTACTTGTCATCACACCCGAACTGGATAGATGGACTGAACACTCCTAAGATAGGATAAAGTAGCTATCCCTATTAGTCCCTGGTTTTCAATGGTTTTTCTAACTGATCTCAATCCATGATCAAACTTGGAACTCTTCGATGTAATAGAGAGCTAATCATATTTACTAGGCGATATGTTAGTGGAATGACTTAATTGAGTAACAATGAAATAAATTGATACAGGTCAACAGGGTGTCATGTACAAGTAAAACGCTTTCTGATCACATACATTAAATGAACAAATTACGAGTCACTTGTGCAAAACGTGATATCAGTAAGTGGCAGAAGAAAAAACAGATTTTCAACAATAATCAAGACTTACACAGTAGTATCAAGAACCATTTAAAAGCACATACTATGCTATTTTGATTGGAAACTATTAACTAGTGTGATAATGTGTCTAGTCCTTTCTTTGGTGCAGAATGAATTCTATCAGTCAGTCAGATTTGCAATGTGGCCATCATTCCAATAGGTAGCTCGCCATCACAGTGCACATCGATTTGATGATATTAGATAGTTGGAGACAATCGAAGCCACACGAAGCCTTGCTTGACCTACGTTTCGTACTAGTTGGTACTAGCCAGCAAGGCGTATCTGCAAACTTGAAGGAAATCATGTCCCTTCTCAGATTCGAACCCGCGTCACCCAGTGCAGCAGTCACAGACGTTACCACTGAGCTATTCGGGCTCGCGACTGACCTCCTATAGGACTGTAGTGGGTATTTTCATTGGACAATAGTCAGTAGCTAGTGTGACGTGTCTGATCCTTTCTTTGGTTAAGACTGAATTCTATCAGTTAGGTTTGTAATGTGGTCACCATTCTAGGTAGGTCGCTATAACGCTGCTGACGAGTACCAACTAGCTCGAAACCTAGGTCCAAGGCTGCCTGCGGATCGCCTCCAACTACCTAGTATACTATGCTATCTAAATGTTTTTAATACACATCGAAAAGGTTTATAAAATGTTAGTATTTAGTTTTATTTTATAACAGCACAGATTGCCAAGTTACTTAAGACATTCATGGAATACAGATGGAAAGTACTAATCACTAAAGTACGCTGTTTGAGTGGATATTGATTAGCGCTGGAACATCTTGAGCAGCAACCTCCAGATGTTTAGCATGCAATTTGCTCCTGTCAGATGTAATAGAATGCTACAGGACTGGACTACATCAACTCACCCCTAGCTTGAAAACAAGTAGGAGTGAAATGGTAGCTGAGAGTGTTGACCACCTCATTTGTTATCTGTAGTGAAGTTACATCGATTGACAGAGATGGTTAGGACATGTGTTAAGCATGCATATTGAGCCATCAATAGCCTTCCTTGACGACACCCAATGTTAGCTGACTGACATACGATGGGTTAGGTTGGAAAAAAGCTGCTAGTGATAGTCGAACGGAAACATGGCTTCATCAGTCAATCAAATCGGTAACAGTTAAACACACATGTAGATTTGTTGGCTGGTTGTCATCCTCATGATGCTCAGAATCGGTAGCTAAAGACATTTGGTGATTTGGCTCAAAATTCTCGTTCTCAATCGCTGGGCGCAGGTGCAGTCGCTCACTCTTTGTGATTTGTCATGCCCAATAAGACCCAGTTTGTTTTTTTTCGTTACTAATATTCTTGTTCCCTCCTCACTCACACTTCTGTTTATTGTCTCTCATTTGATAAAACTCTCTCTCTTAGCTCTGTTCTCTTGCTTTATGTGTTTAAACCAAGAGGGAAAGTGGGAACTCGAAGTGCTGCGCACATATGTGCAGTCAGTTGGCGCTTCTATATGGGGGTCAGAGACTTGGCCATTGCATCATGAAAAGCATCTTCAACAGGCGGCAGACTTTTATCAACAACAGCCCTGTTCACTGGCTATATATGGAAGATTAACAAGGTCGACCAGAAAGAATTAGCGACAAGAAACTCTGAAATGTGAAAAACAAACTACCCAAGAACCTATCACTCAACAAATATGTTTATGAGAAAATTGAGATGGATCGGGCACACACCACTGTGGAAACTAGTGAATGACATTGTGCGCCAGGCCATTGCTCCACTGGAAACGCCATGGGAAGCGACAAGTGGGTCGTCGCCATTGAGAGGGTGACATAGAAGAGGCTGTGTGGCGAGGAAAAGATGAGAGATTATGGACGACCGTGGTGGACCCAGCTGGTGAAGACGACATCACCAAAATAGAAGAAAGTGAAGATGTGTTGTTGAAGCCCTTGTTCCACTTGGAACCCGAGGGAATAATAATATATCTCATCCAAAAAACAACACTAATAACAAACAAAAAGGCAATAACAGCAAATGCATCACTTACCGGTCTAAGCGGTACATAGACAGGCACACCACCAGCCATTACCGTCATTGGAGTGTAACAATCAAAACTCGGTTCAATAATGATCACCTCATCACCGGGATCAACTAAGGCTGAAATAGCTGCATAAAGAGATCCATAAGCTCCAAGCGTAATAATAACCTCTTTTAATGGATCAATTTCTTTATTTGGTGCAAAAGAATCAACTTGAAGATTACCAGATGATTTAGCATAAATTTCATGATCACATTTAAAGAAATTTGTGTATAACTTGGAGAGTATATTCACTAGACGTGGATGACCCTAAATAAAATGGAGGAAAATATTTGAGTGAAATAATCTTGGATAATGTGAATATATAACTTCAAACTTATAAAGTGTATATATATAATAAAATTCTTCGCATTAAATCACTACTACAATTAATTCCATTTTAGTTTGTTTATTACATGTATCACACAGTGAGTGAAACAGTATTATCGATTACTGGATGACGTTTCGAACAAAATTTATTGTGGTTCATAATCATATCAATTATAATCACACGACTTTCAAAACTTGAGTTTTTTCTTCACACGTATTTGCAGTTGATTTGATAACCAAAGCTTCTGTTATCAATCTCTCTCCCCACCCTGGTGGTATATTCGATTATAAAACTGTCATCTTATCCCCATCCTATTGTGTGGTTGTATGTAATTGCATACAGCGAGTGCTACAGCTGAACTATTCTCTAGATTTCTTATCTTATTTGAGTCAGCTAATATAGATTTTGTTACAGGATTTCATCATGAGCTGACATCAGTTAGAGAACCATTGGAAAACCTGAGAGTACTCGACAGCTGTTTTGTCAACCTAGTTTAGAACTCTTAATCAGTAAGCACCCACCGGGGTTCGAACCCACGACCTTCTGGTTAAAAGGCCAGCCCGCATACCATTAGGCCACCGGGACTCGATCCGATGGCCCATGAATTTTAACTTCTGGCAATTCACGACATAGCGCGATCCCTAGCCAATGTCGTGACCAGTAGGGTGCAGCAGGTCGGGTGTGAGGACAAATACTCGCCCCCGAAGACATTGGCCAGGGGTCGCGCTATGCCATGAATTGCCAGAAGTTAGAATTCATGGGCTGGCCATTGGATCGGGTCCCAGTGACTTAATGGTCTACGATCTCCCCTTGTAACCAGAAGGTCCTGGGTTCGAACCCCGGCAGTGGGTGAGTACTGATGAAGAGTCCCAAACTGGGCTGACGAAACAGCTGTCCAGTACTCCGTAGTGGTCTTCCAATGGTTCTCTAACCGATGTCAGCTCATGATGAAATCCTGTAACCAACTAAATCCCTACAAACCAACACTTAAATAATCCAGATTTTGCTAGGATTTTATGCTCGGATAGTCTGACTCAAGTTTCGAAGTCCTGTGATTATAATTGATGAAATGATTGTGAACAATAATAGATTATGTTCGAAACCTTGTCATCGAGTAAATAATCCTGTTTCCCTATGTGATACATCTAATAAACAAACTAATATGGAAGTACTTACTACCACAGTGCCCAAGTCTTACACATATATTATTACTATTATAACTATTGTGACGTGTGCTACTGACAAGATTTATCAGTAGTATATTAACAGACATTCATCGCCATACAAAAATATCAAACAGAGACGAGAAAGGTTTGATGTCAAAGAGAGGAAACTAACCAGAATTTTAGCCAAACATGGGAGACACGAGAAGAAGACAAAGAAACACAATACGAAGGCGGACAGAAATAGGACAACACAACACGGAAGATCTGTGCAAATAACGATTTTCATAAAAGGTGGTGTACGTAATTCCCCCGTATAATGATACTAAATTTCGAACAACTGTTCGGTTACAGAGTCTCTTTTCTCCTACCGTTACACTATTTCTTAACGACAAACGATGGATTTCCGGTATCTAAAAGTAGAGTATTAAAGTAGTTTGATCTAAACAGCTTAGTAGTGAAGTTCCGATGTACTAGAAACAGAATTGGATATTTTGAGAGAAATCTCCATTCAAAATGTATACCCATTAAGATTCGTTGACAGAAATATCAAACCAAAAATTTGGAGAAATGAAACTGCAACGAAGAAGAAAATCTAGATGACCTTGGATTTCAAGGGAGATTTAACAAGCGATATTCTCAAGAGAAGGACCACATCATCTCTGAAAAGAATATTCTTTGCAGCAACGCTAAGAACAGTGTTCTCCAGTCGCTCATTGATCTGCAGAAGCCTCAAGGACAAGATCTCGCATCTGACCACTTCTATGTGCATATATCAGTTCATCTGCTGCTGTATATCGGTCGTTCGACGCGCATCCTGTCCAAGAGGATTCAAGAATACTATCCAGCATGGTTGCGAAAAGGCAATAGTATTGCAATAAGGAGTGTGATAATTGAACACCTGGTTAACACTGTTCATTCCATTTCAACAAGCGCCTCCTTCAAAATAATCTACAGAGTCAAGAATAGCCTATCAAAGGCAATACGGTTTCATCTTCTTTGTATCGCTGAAGCTCTGGCAATTCACATAGAAAAACCGGAGCTGTGTATGCAAAAGAGAATTACTCAGCCACTTCTACTCTCATGGTAACAACTTAGTTAATTTTTGATGACTTAATTTTGTCTGCTTGTCTATTTCTTTAATTGCTTATAATTCTTGTATTCATTTAGAACTCTAACGTAATTTCGTATTCTCTACTTTTTTTCCTATGTTTATCTTGAATCGAACTAAACCATCAAACTATTCATATTATTACATAACGTCTTCTTAACGACTGTTTGTGACAACTCATCACCTTTGTTACTACCCTAATTTCATTAACACCCAATTTTCTTGACTGGTTTTGTATTATGTAACTCCAATTATCAATCATCACCTGTTTAGTTAAAAAATAACCATAACCAATTGTCTATTTCTGTTTGACAAACTTAATGTACACATAGATACAAAATAACCCTTATGTATATTTGCGATTGTACAGCTAAGAAAATGAATTCACCACCGATAAGAGACTCTTCGCTGAACACTACGTGTCTTGTTTTCATAGTCATGAGGTATCAAGTAATTGTAACTCAATGAGTAAGGTCTTTTTAATTTCATGGGAATATCATGATTTTCCTCAGGACTGTAGATCCACCTTATCTATATCAATCAACAATGATTACCTTTTTTAAAATGTAACAATAAAAGAAAAGTGTACATCGAAGTTGTGAATAAACTTGGTCACAGTATAGAAACCATGTCATCCATTTGTTAGTATGGAATCACTGTGTGTGATATTTAAAATAAGCTTATCTTATGCGGTAGAGTGCTCATCAACCAGGCTGGTGGTCTGGAGTTCGATCCTCGGCCACCAACGCACTACTTCGCCTCACTAAACCAGTACTACAACTGGTAAAGACAGAAGGTTTGGCATGAGGCTGGCCAGCAACCCCATCCTGCAAATAAAATAAATACCACTGCTACAGAAACTTCGAGTCTGTAGCTTGAAGTCTTATGTTCCACTTAGAACGTAAAGAAATCTTTCAAAAAAATACCTTGATATGATAATGAACGGCAATAAATTGTGCTCAAAATCTGGTCATCAATAAATATTACTTACTGTAAAGCATTGTGTGACTTTATCATAATAAATTTTATCTATAATGTAATTATACTCTATCACTACCGGCACCAGAGTGCTCAAGTTCTTCGCCTGTATGATAGGAAATACAATTCGGATTCAGGGAGAATTCCCTTGTTATGCGATGACAACAACAACAAAAACAACAAGAGTCATCATCATTAGATATTTTTAATTAGACAGACTTCCGTCATATAATAATATTAATCAAAGATGAAGAGAATATTGTTTACTTACCATAGATCTGGTATACTGATGCAAAAGTGGATTAACATCAGGCTTTCCTAGAATGCTTAAACTTTCGAGAACATGTTGTTTCGGTAGAATGTCTGGAAATCCCTGAATAAGGAAAAATAAAAATATATAAAGATATATGAGCTTATCAAGAGCATTAATAATATACCTAAAAAACATACTATTAACACGTATATCTAATTGAAAACACCCTATATAGTGATTAATGAAGAGACTGAAAGATTATGCCTACACAACTCTTCAGATGAGTTTATTTCTTCAAACTAAGAATATGAAGCAAAGTAGCTACCTTTATAACAAGCATGTACTAACTAAGCACATATCAATAATCATAATAGAATATATTTTAAAGCTGTTGTCTTATCCCACACATTCTATTCTATGGTTGTGTGTAACTGCATGTAGCGAGTGCTATCTACGGCTGAACTATTCTCTGGATTTCTTATCTTATTGGGGTCAACTAATCTAGATTTTGCTGCTAGGTTTTTATGCTCGACTAGTCTGACTGCCCCTGTTCTACTACTATGACTTATGTATCTGACTTGACAATCATTCCAGCAGAGTATTTATTATTATTATATCCTTTAATTCCTAGAAGAACATAGGGCTTCAGCTGTGCATCTCCATTGCCTTCGGTTTTCTGCCAACTTTTTCACCCCGCTCCAAGTCTGCCCACATGCTTTCATCTCTTCTTCACATCACCTCCTCCAAGTCACCCTAGAACTGACGACCAACTCGCCGCTTCCCTTACAGGTTCCACTCGAGCAATGGCTTGTCTAGTGATGTCACTTGATGGTTTGTTTTCTCATAGTATGGCCAACCAATCCACCTCCATTTCTTCCTGCCTATTTGTTTCACAATCGGTTCCTTTTGGATTGATTTACTCCCAGAGATACCTGTTTCTGATCTTTTCTGGCCGGTCATCTGACCTTGAGTATTGAGCGAAGACAACTGTTAATGAAGGTCTGAAGTTTGTTTGAGATGCTCTTTATAACGCGCTGGCCAAGTCTCTGATCCGTATAGAAGCACTGACTTTACATTGGAGTTGAAAATCCGGATCTTATTTTTGATTCTGAGTGCTGTTGACTTCCATACAGACTTAAGAGTAATGAAAGCTTGCCTTGCTTTTCCGATTCTGGCTTTGGTGTCCTCGTCAGTTCCGCCTGTAGTTGAAACGATGCTTCCCAGACCGCTAGGTAAAGGAGGTTGTTTCTTTCAGGTTCCTCCCATTCATGCTGACTGTCGTCTGTTGTTGTTGTTGTTGTTGATGTTGGCCAGGAATCTTCATCAGGTCTGTTTTCTCTATGTTCACCTGAAGTCCTATCTTTGATGCTTCTTTCATCGCCAACTTGTTGCTTTTCACTTGCATATCTTCCACTTTGTGGGAAATCAGACATATATCATCGGCGAAGTCCAGATCCTCCAAGTTTTTTGTGTGAGTCCATTTTATGCCTGTTTCCTCATTGCCCGTTGTCTGTCACATTATCCAATCTACTGCAATCAGGAAAATCATTGTCGATAATAGACAGCCTTGCCTCACTCTCGTCCGCACTTCGAAGCCTTTCGTATGTTTCTCGTTATGGATTACTTGGAATGCAGCATTGTCGTACAACTGCTAGATAAGGTGTATAATTGTTGACAGCACCCCGTATTAGCGAAGTAGTTGCCGAATGACCCCTCGATCTACGCTGTCGAAGGCCTTTTCAAAGTCGATGAAGTTGAGTGGGATGGAGATGTGACTGCCATTCCAAGCTCTGTTCAATGATGATCCGTAAAGTGGTGATTTGATCAATACATGACTTGTTTCTCCTGAATCCAGCTTGTTCCGGTCGAAGTTTTTCATCTAGGGCTTGTTTGATTCTCTCCAAGATGAAGCGGCTTAGTATTTTGCTTGGGATGGACAGGAGCATAATTCCGCGCCACTTCTTGCACTGACTTAAGTCTCCTTTCTTTGGTAGTTTGAATAAGTATTCTTTCATCCAAACTTCGGGTACTTTGCCCTCTTTCCACACCTTCTCCAGAAATGGCGTCATCAAGTCCGTGGTTGTCTCTGGGTCCATTTTCAATGCTTCTACTGGGATTCCATCTGGTCCTGCTGCTTTTCCAGCTTTTAGCATCTTGATTGCATTCAGAACTTCTGATTTCGTCGGGGCTTGATGTTCACTGGTAGTTCTGCTTCTGTTGTTGGTATTGTTGGGCACGTTGTAGGTGGCGGTCGATTTAGAAGTCTTTTGAAGTGGTTCAGCCCAGTGTTTCCTTTGCTCCACCTCTTTGGTGATTGACTTTCCATTGTCATCCTTTACTGGCTTAATCTGTGTCAAACTTTTGCCCGATAGATTCCTAGTTGTTTGGTAGAGTGTGGCGAGGTCTCCTTTGCCCGCACTGCTACTTGTTCTGCTTCACTTGCCATGGCAGGGTATTAAAGAAACAAAATTGTTTTGTTTCAAAGGCTCCACAGGATTTATCCCTTAACCGACACAGCTTGTTTCTAATTGAGTTTGTGGGTTTAAATACCAGCAACTTTTATTCCTACCTGAATTATTAAGAATTCTTTGTAAGTTTTCCGAGATTACTTCCTTGTATGGAAAAAACTACTGATGATTTAGATTCCTTATTGTTGGTGTTGTCATTAATCTTTGACTCACTTTCTATCTTGGTTTTTCCTTGTCACTACTTAGTTTTTGTGCTTTATTACTTAAACATTTCATCAATCCTATTTTCACTGACATAGGAGGGTGTAATGATCACAAATCCAAATATCGTTTTGAATTTGTGAGTTTTCTGTAAACACACTACTAGTGTGTTTAACTTCCCGTCTTCTTTCCTTTTTACACTACAATCTAACATTGCACATTCCCTTCCTAACTTTCCAATTCACAATTCAATTGAATTGCCTCCACCTTTGAGTTACTGTGTTCTATATCCTGTGTTCTAAGCACAGTGAATGTGTCATCTACATACCTCCACTATACTTTTGGGTGGGGCTGAACATTTCAATCGTTATGTTTTCTCACCTATTTATGAATATATCTGCTAAAACCGGGAATAATGGTGACCCCATGTCAACTCCCTCAGTTTGTTTGTATATTTGTATACTGATAACGGAATTTAAATAATGTGGAAGTCAGGCATAGCTGCACTACCCGTAGCGTTATGTCTTCAAGTGACACCTTCGTCCTCAATTCGAGTTCTTGGTCAGAAATGAGTTCGTTTCTGACTGCCTCTATAGCCATATTTACTATTTCTACTATTAATACTACCCCTACGACGATGAATAGGAGAGAACAAAGAAAACTATAAAACTCAAGTTTCGAAGTCGTGTGATTATAATTGATGTTATGATTATGAACAATAATAGATTGTTTTGGAAACCTTGTCATCCAGTAACCGATAATATTGTTTCACTCACTGTGTGATACATCTAATAAACAAACTAATATCAAAATTTGCAAATAACTAATCTTAATTCAATAAAATAAAAATGGAAAGATTTAAGAGAGATGTCACTTTTTTTAAAACAGTGGCAAATTACCTGACCCAAGTTGACTGGTTTGTATTTGGCAACTGCATGATTAATTTCAACCCTGAATAGATAAATTCCAGGAGAGAGAGAGAGAGAAAATTGATAACAGATGGTTTTAGCGTTAATTTGTGGATGGTGACTAGTAGTGGTGGAATCAAACAGGATGCGCATTTCCTCCTGTTTGGGACTCGTCAACTGGATGTACCTTCACTGCGCAGTAAGTGGTGATGGTATATTCAGTGGTGAGTTCCAAATAAGACGAAATGGGCATCCTGATGGATTCTACCACTGCTAGTCACCATCCACCTATTAACTTTTAACTGCATTCCGATATGTCAACCTGCGACCAAGCACTTCGCTCTAATCAATCGACAAGAAAATCTAAAATTAACTTAAGAGGTGGTTAGCGTGTTCAATTCATAATTATTCTTGTTGTCCAGTTATGTGATAATGTACACTCTCTTATAGTCGGATAATAATTAAAGTTCAAGAACAACTCTCAGTTTGACTGAGCAAAGGAGAGGGGTGCAGGGGTATTAATTCATCGATATTGTAGCATATTTTGTAGATACACTGACCATTCAGCATCTGACACATCGTTTGATATAGTCTACAGAGTTAGAAAACTGCCACCTTGCTGTGGTGGTCGGCCTTGAATACCGCAGTGACCCAACAAGCTAAACTGGCTGGGACTCATGTTCCTGCAGGTCCTACCATATCAGGAAGGTTGTTTGGATAGGGGTTAGACTAAAAGCTGTTACCATGGGGTACATGGGCTCCAGTATCGAATCGGATCAAATGGCGTATGAACCCATATGGGTCACCGCCAACCATGGGAATGCAGCTCCTGACGCTGCTCCGATGCCTTGCGGATTAGACTACAAGTCCAAGTCTCGGGGAGTGGTCCCTTAATAAAACCACCTGCTTCGGTCTGGGCGCCCGGGCAGTATTTCAGTCCTCATGCAATAAATGAAATGAAGCAACAAACTATCAGTGAAACATATCGCGCGCTCGTAACAATGCTTTCAAGCAATAATGATGTCTCAAGTAACTTATTTCTTTCCAACCTTACTTTTGTTTTTATACATAGACTCCTGTATTTTACCTTTGCTAACCTTGACTTCTTCACCTTCGACAGCCTTTCGTCTTTGTTTGGATTCCCAGCCTATCTGTGCCGCTTCGACATGTTAGTGAGTAACCCTCAAAATGGTTATCCCCAGTGCGACATCTAACACAGATATCCTTAAATCGTGTGCAGCGTTCAAGCCGGCCGCCTACAGTGTTCGGATGCTGATGCAAATCGGACAACAGGCAGGGTTGGTAAGAACATTGGAAAGCCTAGCTATCGATGTCTGCTGCATTTCGGAGGCCTGCATTCAAGATCCCAGTGAAGTGCTTCCATTATCCTCTCCATCTGAAAGTTCCAGTAGTATGTACCACCTACGCTTGTCCGGAGACCCTGTGGCGTCAGTATCCGGTGCAGCTAGTGTCGGTGTCGCACTGAGCGCTAGAGCCGAAGCTGCATTGCTCGACTGGATCCCCATTAACAGTCGTTTATGTGCTGAGGCTGGAAGGTTATACGAAAGTAAGGAGTAGTCGGCCAAATAGGTGGTGTCTATTTGTCGTCTTTGCCTATGCACCGACGGATTGCATATTCTAACATTTTATCTAGTCTACTACTATGACAACATTTCATTCATCCTATGTCGTCTCCATCATACTATATTCACAAGTTTACATTTCCTAATGCAGTTTATTTTCCGATCATCTATTTCACACGTGTCGTCTATTGAACTTGATAGGTTAACCTCTATCCATTCAGTTATTTATTCGTATACCTAATCAGTTTGTGACTCATAATCCTATACACCAATAATATTGTACTTTAGTATTTTCACTCACGCACACTAAAAAACTGAGTGCTATTATCTATTATATATATATGCATATATACAAGTGTAGGGATTTAGTTTGATTGGATGGAGGATTTCATCATGAGCTGACATCAGTAAGAAAAACATTGGAAAACCACTACGGAGTACTGGACAGCTGTTTCGCCCTAGTTTGGAACTCTTCATCAGTACGCATCCACCACAGGAAGTTCGAACTCAGGACCTTCTTGTTATAACGCGAGCTAGTAGGCCATTAAGTGACTGGGATTCGAACCAACAGATTACGAAGTCTAACTTCTGTCAATTCACGAAAGGATTTCATGAAATTCTCTATCCAATCAAAGAAAATCCCTACAAAACCAATACTTGAAAATTAATCTGATGAGCACTAGCGACTGACCCTATTCAGGAAGTTAACCTGGAGTTTTAGAGGGAAGTCATGACCGGTAGGGTGTAACAGATCAAAGGTGAGGCAGTAACTCACTGAAGAATACATTGAGAAGTAGTGGCATGCTACGCCATGAATTATTGCTAGAAGTTGGAATTCATCGACTGGACACATTGGATCGGGGTTTGGGTCCCAGTGGCTTAATGGTTTACGAGCTCGCCGCCTTTTAACCAGAAGGTCCTAGGTCAGAACGCCTTGTAGCTGGTACGCACTGATAAAGAGCCCCAACTTAGGACGAAACAGCTATCCAGTACTCCCTGCGATTGGTTTTCCAATGGTTCTCTAACCAATGTCAGCTTATGATGAAATCCTCAAAACATTCAAACAAAATCCCTACACAAAACCAATAGTTGGAGGTCAGTCTTCAAACAAAACTGACATTTAATAATTCGAATTATCTCGAAATATTATATAAGTAATACAAGTAAAAAATGATTACCAAATACTGGGTTTCTGTTTCAAAATACGCGCAGCTGGAGTAATCATAGCAGATCGTGTTTCATTCAGCATAGTCGTTATAGCTGGCCTTCAATCTAAAAAAAGCAGAAATTGTAAAAGGAGGAGGTGTAAAAAGGGTCATAGATTTCATTTTTCTAACAACAAAACATCTAAATAAACTAAGCAGGTAATCATTACGATAATAATTTACAAAAATAAAATTTATCCAGTTACTCTGGAAGACAGATAATTTTGCCTTGAAAGGTCTGATAAAAAAGGAACACCTTTTTGTCTGTCTGTCTGTTTTCGACATAGAACTTTCCACCCATGTGCACCACTTCAAGTCGCCACACTCACTCCGTGTAGCACACAAAACAACAGAAGAAAGTAGAAGAAATGCATAATAGAGACAGTAGACAGAGGTGTGAGACAAAGAAATAGGTAATAACGAAGAATAATATAGTTTCATTGGAAATTATAAGTCACAAGGAGTGGATGCATCTACGATATCCATTGAGAACGAGAATTTTGAGCCATGTCACCAATTGTCTCCAACCTTCATTGGTTTTCACCGTCCCGAGGAGCCCAACCAGGAAGTCTACACCTTCCTACGTGGCTGGCTGGCTGGCTTACACTAACTGTTGTGGATTTCATTGACTAATGAAGCCATGTTTTGGTTCGACCGCCACTAGCTGTTTTCCAGCCTGACCCTATGTCAGCTAACATCGCCCATCGAGGTAGGTGATGAGTAGTCATACGTAAAACATGTCCAAACCATCTCAGTCGATGTAACCGCTTCACAGCCTCGTCGATTGATTTCCCCTCCCACTTACCTAGCACTCACTGGACGCCTACCCTCAATATTGCTCACCTTATTATACCACTTCACACGGGAAATAGAACTCAGGCACCTATGATCAAAGACAGCCAGCTAATCTTTTCATGTCTTCCATTCTCAATGGCCAGGTCTGACAGCCATTAAAGGAGGACGGAGTGGACTGATGAGCAGTACACCTTTAGACAGTGATTTTAACTGATTAAAAATGCCTATTATAATTTTCAAAAGAATGGTTACTGAACAAAGAATACCCTTTTCGATAACACCTTCATCATCAGGCTCTACAGTCTGTCTGTTTTCGACATAGAACTTTGCACAAATGTGCGGAAGTTCAAGTCGCCACACTCCGTGTAGCACGCGAAGCAAGAGAAGAAAGTACAAGAAAAGCATAACAGAAACAGTGAGCAGAGGTGTGAGACAAAGGAGTAATAAAGAAAAACAAAACAGTTTCATTGAAGATCATAAGTCACAGGGAGTGGATGCATCTGCGCCACTGAGAACGATTTTGAGCCATGTCACCAAATGTTTCCAACCATAGATTTTTACCGTCCCGAGGACCCCAGCCTGGAAGTCTACACCTTCCTACGTAACTGGCTTAGACCAACTGTTGTGGATTTCATTGACTGGTGCCAAGTTTTTGTTTGACCGCCGCTAGCTTTTTTCCAGCCTGACCCTATATCTGCTAACATTGCTCGTCGACGGAGGCCATGGCTTGGTATACGTAACACATGTCCTAACCATCTCAGTCTTTGTAGCTTTACGACTTCGTCGATTGATTTCCCCTGTTTACCTAGAACTCGACGCCTGACCTCCATGTTGCTCACCTTATTATGCCACTTTACACGGGAAATAGAACGCAGGCACCTATGATCAAAGATAGCTAGTCTTTTCATGTCTTCCACTCTCAGTGGCCAGGTCTCACAACCATAAAGGAGGACGGAGCGGACTGATGAGCAGTACACCCGCCCCTTGGTCGATAGTCGAACATCTCGTCTACGCCAGAGTCGGCGTAAACTAACAAATGCGAAACGAGCCCCTTGTATTCGTGCTGAGATTTCGTCAGAGATCAACCCGTTGGCGTTGGCTGATGGTACTTCCCAAATAAGTGAAGCGATCAACGTGCTCTACCACTTCACTCCCTATTTCTAATCTAGGAGTCAGTGTAGTCCAGTCCTGTAACATCATCTTGCATTTGGCGGGAGCGAATCGCTCGCAGGCCAAACATTCGTAGATTGCGGCTCAAGGTGTTTAGAAGACTCTGCATTTCGTCAGCGTCTTCGCCTAGAAGGACTATATCGTCTGCATATTCCAAGTCAACGAGATTATTCCCCGGTAGCAAGTCAATCCCTGAGTCGCTGAAGTCACCTAGGGTTAAGTCCATTAACACATCTATGATGAAGTTGAATAGAAAAGGAGATAATGGGCATCCTTGACGGACACCACTGGTCGTCATCAGTTCAGATGACAGCTCTACAGTCATATATACATAATATTAGTAAATGAATGAATTAGTGTTATGAACAACATTAATGTTCTTTAAATAACATCGAATCAATAATGATAATAATAGATTACAGTTCAATAGCATCGACATAAAATAAGCTGTATGTCAGAAAAATTAGGAGAGATAATAATTTTTCTAGCATAACTGACTGATTGGTTTCAACAAAGACTTTTCTACACAACTGCAACAGTTCAAGTTGCCATACTCCCCCCCCCATATAGCAAACAAAGCAGTAGAAAAGAGTAGAGGGAGATGCAAAAGAGAGACAATAAACAAAAATATGAGGTAAAAAGAATAGTCATATAGAAGAATAATAGGACTGTTTTTGGATATTATAAATCACAAAGAGTGAATGCATCTGCGCCATTGGGAACGGCTTTGAGTCATATCACCAATTGTCTCCAGCCACCACTGGTTCTTACCAATATCTGAGGACCCCAACCAGTCAAGGAGTCTACACCTCTACTACACGTGGCTTAAATTAACCACTGTGGAATTCATTGACTGATCAAGCCATGTTTGCGTTTAACCACAACTAGCTGGCTCTTTTCTAACCTGATCCATCCTATGCCAGTCAGCTAGCAATAATGCCTGTCGAGTAAGGTGATGGGTTAGGCAAGCATAACACATGTCCTCAGCATCTCACTCAATCGATTTAGCTACCTAATAATCTCGTTGATCGATTCTCCTTCCATACGTAACACTCGATCGAAGCCTAACCTCAACATTACTCACCCTATAATACTTACCACATAACACGGATATAGAATGTAAACGCCAGCCGTTTCATGTCTTCCCAATTCAATGGCCACATCTCACTGACAGCCATAAGAGATAACGTAATGAACTGCAAGTTTGCAGTACACATATCCTTTGATTCACACTCGGATATCACGTCTACTAAGCCAGAGATGGCGGAGGTTGGCATACGGTAAACGAGCCTTCTGTATCAGTGCTGAAATTTTGTCAGAGAACAACACATTGACGCTGATGCAACTCCCTAAATAAGTGAAGTAGTCAATACGCTCAGCTACCACTTCTCTCCTGCCTATCTTTGACCTAGTAGTGAGTAGACACATTCCAGTCCTGTAGCATCATATTATATTTGACAGCAGGAGCGCGTTAATCGCAAGCCAAACATTCGGATATTGCTTTCTGACTAAGGTGTTCAGAAGACTCTGCATTTTGTCGGCGTCTTCACCTACGAGGGAGGACTATATCATCTGCATATTATAAGTCAACGAGATTATTCCCTGCTGGTAACAGGACAATCCCTGAGTCACTGAAGTCAGTTAGGGTCAAGCCCACTGGTATATCAATATGAAATTAAACAAAAATCAGGAAAGTAGGCATTCCAAATCGACACCACTGGTTGTCACCACTTCAAATGACAACTCTTACTTGGCTGGTGGCAAGAGTTCGCGTAGAGTGTCTTGATCACTGTATTCTCTCGGCATTCTCTTCACAGCCAAACGTCGCGATAGTACCTCTCGGTCGACGGAATCGAATTCCGCTTTTAGATCAAAAGATACAACGGATTTTGAACGTCAGTAGGTATGCCTATGTTCCCTATGTTTCTAGCACAGGGATGCGATGACTATCGAATACAAACTGGATGCTTTTCAAGACAGACAATATGTCTTGACATCCTATTCTTTAAAATCTCACTTCTTTTTTCAGTCTACGAACGCCGGGGGCGAGTAGATCGATTGTGTGTAAAAAATAAACTCGACGTTGTGATCACATATAATCTGTGCAGGATGACTGAAGACAGACACAGTCTTCCAACGTGGCTTCTTACACACCCTGGGCTGGTTGTGCAGAAATCACATTTTTTAATGATAATCACTAAAATACCTAAAACTACCAACAGGATAACTTCACCTTCAAAAAACAAAAGATAACGTTAGTTACTGACATTAAAACTATAGAAGTCTTCAATCCCTACTAATAACTAATTGATATTTATAGTAGTATAGTTGAAGTGAACTGAACTATCAACATAGAGCCTAGCACGAAGGAGACCTCAACCATTGCCTAAAAACACTCAACATTCAACCAGTAGGTCCTGAGTTCAAATCCCACTCCGCCTACTTCAAAGCCTAGGCAAGACATAAAAAAATTAGCTGTCCTTGATCATAGGTGCCTGAGTTCTATTTCCCGTGTGAAGTGGCATAATAACGTGAGCAATATTGAGATGGTTAGGCGTCCAGTGAGTGCTAGGTAGGTGGGAGGGGAAATCAATCGACGAGGCTGTGAAGCAGTTACATCGACTGAGATGGTTACGACATGTTTTACGTATGACTACTCATCACCTACCTCGATGGGTGATGTTAGCTGACATAGGGTCAGGCTGGAAAACAGCTAGTGGCGGTCGAACCAAAACATGGCTTCATTAATCAATGAAATCCACAACAGTTAGTGTAAGCCAGCCAGCCAGCCACGTAGGAAGGTGTAGACTTCCTGGTTGGGCTCCTCGGGACGGTGAAAACCAATGAAGGTTGGAGACAATTGGTGACATGGCTCAAAATCCTCGTTCTCAATGGATATCGTAGATGCATCCACTCCTTGTGACTTATAATTTCCAATGAAACTATATTATTCTTCGTTATTACCTATTTCTTTGTCTCACACCTCTGTCTACTGTCTCTATTATGCATTTCTTCTACTTTCTTCTGTTGTTTTGTGTGCTACACGGAGTGAGTGTGGCGACTTGAAGTGGTGCACATATGTGCAAAGTTCTATGTCAAAAATAAACAGACAGACATACACATACAGACAAGTCAGTCATAAGAAAAACACAAAGGAGGAAATCATTAAAACAAATCTATTTTCAAATACTTGTGAATTTTATTTGACAGTTGGAATGTTGCAGATAGTTGAACGAATTGAATGAATAGTACAAATATACATATATACACATAAAAATAAATGCAGGATATTTACAAATGACGTTGGAAGATGAAGAGGTAGAGTGAGAGACGCGATGGAAACATCGGTCTATCTATGGTTGGTAAGAATAAAGAATACGAATAAAGAGAGTGGCGCGCATATGGTATATGTGCTGTGGGACTGACTGACTAGCTCACCACTAATAGTAGTCTTTATAACAAACACCATGATGTACTGCTAATAACACTTGGGGGGTGGGGGGTGGGGTATGGCGAGATAAATTTTTTATGAATCAGCTTAACAAAATAGGCAGGAGAGATTATTGGTCAGTTATTCTGTTTGTGCAGCTAGGTGATCTGTCTCTAGTGGACTTCTTACGTTTTCTGTGCATTGTTGGTGAAGGTAACTGGTGCTGGTGGTGATGTGAAGGAGATCTTGAATGATTAACGTTATCATTGTGTCTATCTCTCTTGTGTCTGTGGTGATTTGATGATGGACATGATTTTCTATTATCATTTTTAGATCGTGATGAACAATCTCGTCTTTTTCTTCTTTTTCCTCTGCTTGTTGGAGATGATGATGATGATGACGGAGTGCGAGAAGAACGTCTATGCCTTTTATGCCGTCTATGATGATCTGTAGGCGATGAACGTTTCCGGTGTGACCTAAAACACAAAAGAATAGCGTACACTATATATATATATATATGGTCAACTCAAAGGACGACAACGACTAAACGGTAATTTAGTCATTCGCAAACCAATTAAGCAATTAAAAGATAATATTGGATGGAGGATTTCATCATGAGCTGACATTGGTTAGAGAACCACTGGAAAGCTTGGGACTACTGGACAGCTGTTTCGCCAGTCTAAATTGGGACTCTTCATCAGTATGCACCTACACTGCGGGGTGCGAACCCAGGACCTTCCGGTTACAAGGCGGCGAGCTCGTAGACCATTGAGTAACTGGGACACAATCCAATGGTCAACCCATGAATTCTAACTTCTACCAATTCACAACATAGCGCGACCATTTCGCAATGTCTTCTTCGATGAGTTACTGCCTCATCTGGTCAAGGCTTCCCATCAGATTCCCATTAGAACCCCAGGTTAACTGCCTGAATAGGGCCTATCGTTAGTGAGCATCAGATTAATTGTCAAGTATTGGTTTTGTATGGATTTTGTTTGATTGGATGGAGCATTTCAGCATGAGCTGACATCAGCAGGCAGTAACTCATCGAAGAAGACACTGCGAAATGGTCACGCTATGTCATGAATTGGTAGAAGTTAGGAGTCATGGTCCCAGTGACTCAATGGTCTGCGAGCTCACCTTGTAACTAGAAGGTCATGGGTTCGAACTCCGCAGTGTAGATGCGTAATGATGAAGAGTCTCAAACCAGGAAGAAACAGCTGTCCAGTAGTCCCAAGATTTCCATCGGTTCTCTAACTGATGTCAGCTCATGATGAAATCCTTCATTCAATCAAACTAAATCCCTACAAAACTAATACTTAAAAGATAATATTTAAATAATAATATTCAAACACTTTCCTCGTAATGATTTAGGCAGAGAACTGTGTATTACTATTTCCTTTAATTCCTAGAGGAACATAGGGCTTCAGCTGCGCATCTCCATTGCCTTCGGTTTTCTGCCAACTTTTTCACCCCACTCCAAGTCTGCCCACATGCTTTCATCTCCTCCTCACATCACCTCCTCCAAGTCACCCCACCGCCGGACGACCAACTCGCCGCTTCCCTTTCGGGTTCCACTCGAGCAATGGCTTGTCTAGTGATGTCACTCACTTGATGGTTTCCTCAGCGTATGGCCAGACAATCCATCTCCATTTCACAATCGGTTCCTGGTTGGTTCGCTCACTGCCAGAGATCCGTCACTGTTTCTGATCTTTTCTGGCCGGCCATCTGATCTTGAGTATTGAGTGGAGACAACTGTTAATGAAGGTATGTAGTTTGTTTGAGATGCTCTTATGACGCGCCAAATCCCTTTGGGTTTCGAGTGGAACATAGACCTTTAACAACACATCTCCATCTGCTTCTATTTCTACTGTCCTCTTCAGCTGGCTAGCCACACGACTGCCAATAATCTCTCATCTCTTCTCGCCACACAACACTCCATGAATCCATCTCCATTTCCCACGCATACTTGCTGAACAATAGGTTCTTGGTTGGTTTGTTCCACTGCAAAGTTTTTCGTTGTTAATTGTTTTTCTGACCGTCTTGCTACTTGATCTTCAGTTTGCGATCAGAGAAGGCAGTTGTTGATAAAAGTGTTAAGTAGCCTGTTGAAGATGCTTTTGACTCATATAGAACAACTGACTGATTGACTTTACACTGGTGTTGAAAATCCTAACCTTGTTGTTTATGCTAAGGTGGAGTTCAGAAGATGTCCAAACTGACTTTAGATTGATGTTGGTGTATCTGGTCTTTCCGATTCTCGTGAGCTTGAACAATGCCATCAGTTCCAGTATATCTGTGGTTGAAACAACGACTCCTAGATAAGTGAGAGAAGTAATCTTATTCAAATTTATACTGGTGCTGGTTGTTGTTGCTATTGGTTGGTTGGTAATCTTAATCACCTCCGTTTTCTCTATATTCACCTGGAATCCTGTCTTCGTTGCCCGCCTCTTCTGCCAGTTTGCCTTCAACATTAAACATAAATCATTCACGCGTGAAATCCACATCTCCTACACTTTTTGTATCGATCCAGTGTATTCCTGTCTTCTTGTTCCCTGTGCACAGGCTTCCGAAAAAGCCAGTCTACCATCAATGAACAATAGGACTAATACTCATTACTGTTTCCGTTATTCAAAAGACTTAGTAACACTGAAGAAGAATAATTGTAATAGGCTGATGGCTTTAGCGACAAAGTAAACCAACTGTTACAATGTTACTGATATTAAACAGTTGGAGCAGTCCGCTCCTTCCTCCTTTATGGCTATTGGTGAGAAATGGCCATTGAGAGTGGAAGACATGAAAAGATTAACTGTCTTTGATCATAGGTGCCTGCGTTCTATCTCCCGTGTGAAGTGATATAATAACGTGAGCAATATTGAGGTGGTTAGGCATCAGTCGAGATCTAGGTAGGTGGGAGGGGGAATCAATCGACGAGGCTGTGAAGCAGTTACATCGACTGAGATGGTTACGACATGTGTTAAGCATGCATCCACTCCTTGTGACTTATAATTTCCAATGAAACTATATTATTCTTCGTTATTACCTATTTCTTTGTCTCACACCTCTGTCTACTGTCTCTATTATGCATTTCTTCTACTTTCTTCTCTTGACTTGTGTGCTACACGGAGTGAGTGTGGCGACTTGAACTGGTGCACATGGGTGGAAAGTTCTATATCGAAAACAGACAGACAGATAGTTGAAGGCAATCGGCCACAGGAAGCCTTACTTCACCTAGGTTTCATACTAATTGGCACTCACCAATCAGAAAGGCGTATCAGAGACGTTGAAGGAACACATATCTTTCCTGAGATTCGAACCCACCTCACTCTCTGCTACATTCAAAGACATCACCACTAAGCTATTCAGATTCACGATTCACCTAGTTAGTAACTAGTAGTGGGAGTGTCGCAGATTCAACTTCTCCACATCTGTGAAAAGTTGTATGTTGAAACCAGTCAGCCACAGTTATCAGCCAATCGATAGTGTACAGACTGATGATATTCCACAGAGACATGACCAAATGAGTAGGAGTATATAAAAAGGTGACGTTTCTGGTGCTTAATCAGAGAGCTACAATAATCAATAAATTCCATCTTCTCATTATAATTATGATTATTTCGCATCGACTACCTTTATACTGGTGACTAAACAAAGTAGAGAGAGAATGTTAACCGCTTTTTAGAGCATTTTACATAACAAAAGGTAATTTTAATTAAAATTAGTCTCTATTCACTGAATATTTCAGAACAAAATCTAAACAAAAGTGACCAGCAATAGCTAATTACAGTTCACGGTGTAACAACTACATACAATACTAAACATTCTCAAACAAGAAATTGTGACAAAAAAAAGTGTTTTACAAAAACAAAAACAAAAAAGTATTAAGTAACAAAATAGCTTACTTTGTTGTCACAGGAGAGTATGCGACACGATCACAGTGAGTATTATCCACTGGACTAGGCAGTCTACCTAAATGACGCCATAATGCCTTTTGTATATCGTTAACCGTCTCCCCTGGATTAAGAAATACATGCAAAAAGTTACAGTGGAGATCACCTTTAGGACATTTACCACGATGATAGAGACCTGCAAAATAAAAAAACAACAAAACAAATAAAAGTGCGGATCATATCAAAAAATGGAAAAAAAACGATGGAATATAAACGAAAAGACTCCCAGGTTTTCTAATAGTTCTCTCTAAATGATGTCAGCTCATGATGGAATCCTCCAACTAAATCCTTACACAAAAATCAGTAATTGACAAAGAAAAATGCCAAAGATAAAACCATTAAAAGCGATGAAGCAGGAAATACGAGAGATTGAGATTGGGTAAAGCCAATAAAGAAATCTGCACAGATGTGCACCAGTTCCAGTTACCACATTCCCTTCATGTACTTAACAAACCAAGAGAACAGAGTTAAGAGAAATTCATCATATGAGAGAACCCTCTTTAAAGCCTTTCGATGACCCCAACCAGTTTACCTTTTAAACATAGTAGGTGTAACTTAGATGCCACTGTTGTCCTACATCATAGTATAGTCTCCAGTTTAGACAAAGGAGCTAAATACGTTCGCTGTGCCTTCCTTGATTACACATCTACATTTGACTTTGTTTCACTTTCAGACGTAAACGTGACCTACAACAACTAGTTAGCTCACACGGCCCCACTGTCATTGACGGCATAGAGGTTGAAAATACATCCAATGTCAAGTACCTTGGACTGAGTTTTTCCACCGATCTTTCCTGATCCTCCCACATCTTGCTAGTTACCAGAAAGATGTTTAGCTTAACGTTCTATGTTAGGAAATTTATGCAGTCTGGCATAAATCAGTCTTCGCTTTTTCAGTTTGTCAATTCTTTTATTCTACCCATCCCCCTTTACTGTTCCCCATTAATCTTTCCTGGACTACTTAAGAAAGACTTTGCTTTGCTGAGAAGGGCAGGCACTAAAAGCCGTTAGTAGGTCAAGTGGGATATCGTTAAACGAACTGGTTAACACTATTGTGGATAAACATATAATGTCATGTAAGAAACTAGCGAATACAATATTGTCAGACCCCGAGGATCCTCTCTATACACAGCTGTCTCCTTGCATTTCACCTGGTAGAACTAAAAGCAGCTATAGGATGCTATATGCTAAGACTACCAAGTACAAGAACTCCACAATAACATACCTGGCAGAGCTGTTATGTGGTGAGAAATCCATTAGGTATGACACGATAAACTTACTGCGGAACTCTAACAAATAGTCCCATTAGTTTTTGTTTTTCTTTTCTCGTTACTACTACACTGTTGTTCTCATCTTCTATTACACACCAATTTAATATTTCATATCCTGTGGTGCATTGTTTAAAATGTAAACGCAACGCTGTTGTTTTTTATTTTTTTTATTTATCTTTTTTTGTGTTGCTTTTTGATTTTAAAATCTTATAAAATGTATGAGCTATTTAGATGCAACATATTGTAATGCACGCTGAAAATTCCATACCTGTACCACAAATACCGTTTGGAATAAAGCTGTTTATTATTATTATTATTATTATAATCAGAAGTGTGAATGACGGAAAAAGCATAGTAGTAATATAGAAGAACAATAGACTTTTATTGTATGGACATGACAAATCGCAGAGAGTGAATGCATCTGCGTCAACCAACGACGACTTTCAGCCGTATCACCAGTTGTCTCCATCCGCCATTGGTTCTTACCATCCTGAGGACGTACTCCGAATACATCTTGGAACCCCAACCAACCAACAAGTCTACACCTTCCTACGTAGTTTAGATTGACTGATCAAGCCATATTTTGGCTTCACCACAACTAGCTGGCTCTCTTTCCAACCCGATCCATCCTACGTCAGTCAGCTAACATAGGCCATCGTCGATGAATGCTATCAACGACTGTATGCGTAACACATGTTCTATCCATCTCAACCGATGTAACTTCACAATTTCAGTAGTACTCATCCTATTATACCACCTAACGCGGAAGTTAGAACGCAGACATCTGAAATGAATCAAATGATGATAAACGATCGATTCTGAGTAATATTATCCACAGCTTCGATCCAATCAGGTAATCTAAGGTTATCTGTATCACTCAGAAAAGAATCCAATAACTGCATGGATTACAGTATACCTTAATACGGTAGCTCCTCACTCTTTCCTAACAGTGGTACTTCATTTGATATTGATATAAGTACAAAACTTGGGCACTGTGGTAGAGTATAACTTCATTATGTATAAGATTTTATTTTGACAAATCACACAGTATTGTACAGTTATATTAACTGATGACGTTTCGAGCACAAACTATTGCTCATAACCATATCAAGTTACTCACACAACTTTGTTTTTTTCATTTATCATTAATGATAACACAAATAAGAAAGAATATAAGTCATCCACTGTTATACCATATAAGGAAGGACATCTGAGGCCCTACGTAGAATTCTGAATAAAATAGGAATTAGGGTGGCATTCAAACCTACAAACTCACTCAGAAACAAGCTCTGTAGGTTAAAGGACCCAGTTGACCCAATTAGACAAAATAATATAATTTACAAAATACCCTGCAATTACTGTGAGATTAACTATATAGGTCAAACTAGTAGGTCAGGGGTAGTCAGATTGTCAGAACATAAGAATTTAGCTAAGGTAAGAATGGTTGACCCCACCCGTGAAGATAAGTAATTTAGAAAAAAGCACAGCAATTGCAATGTATGCATTAACACACAACCACACAATAGGTTGGGTGGGAGAGGGTTAAAATTCTAAAAAGTAATCTATTTAGGTGGACGGAGAGAGAGGTTGATTACTGAATCCTTGTTCATCGAGTCTACACCAAACACATGCAACAGAAATGACTCAATGTAAATACCAGAAATATGGAAGATATTATTACCGCAGGTCAAATCAGAAGAGGATAATAAATAATATTAAAATTCTATTTCAATTCAACCACATCACAACATTCTAACAAAAAACTTATGACTGTAAAAAACACTCATCCTTTTTCCCATCTAACTGCAATTGATCAACAACACTCGTACTATTATTTCTGAATGTACATTATCGCACATTGATTTTTAATCCAATATCTAATCGACTCCACAAATGTATATAAATGAAAGAACACAGTTGTGTGAGTAACTTGATATGATTATGAGCAATAGTTCATCTGATATTCATTTAAATGAATAGTAAATGAGATTCACTGTCGAGAATGAATCCCAGTGGGAAGACCCGTAGGCAGGACAATATCATCAACTGGTACAAAGAAATGTGACCTAAATAATGCTCCTCAAGACAGTCTCCTTCTTTCCGAGCGTTTGACAAACATCGAAGACTGATAGGACACTTTTAATAGATCAGTATATGCAAAGCCTATGTGGAACGGCCAGTTGACAAACTTTTACACTTGGATATCCACTAATCGCATAAGGAACCTGATAATATCTCTTGTGATCAGGATTCGAAGAACCTAAAGTCCTGAATCAGTAGATGACGAGATTACACATTCGAGGAAGACACCACTTGAGAATGACGAGACTACCACACCCCAACCCTTATGGATAAACACATAAAGCCCGAAACTAACAAAGAACACCCGACTTGTATGCTGAAGAAGATGCTATGCATGAATGTGGTGTTCATAGGCGACATTGTAGCCGACACACTCTGAAGAAGAGGAAGAAGGGAATATCTAACATCGTGGAAAGAACTTTCTCTGCTGCTACATTACGATTGGTATTCTCTTTCTGTGCATTGTTTTTCAGCAACTCTAGAGATACACTATGGCATTTGACCACTTCTTCATGTAATCTACCAACTAACTTGCTCATGTGGTGCGAGATATTTAGGTTGTTCGACGTGTGCTTATCTGTAAGAGTCGGAGAGCATTAGCCTGTTTGGGTACGAAAACGTGACAGTGGATCAATAAACAGTGGTATGATAGAATATAAATATTTTCAACACTATCTACTCAATATGTAAGGAGAATCCATTCAAAGTTAAAAGAAGCCTCCTGAAAACGTTAAGCTAAGCATAATTCCGATCCAACGAAGATAGATTTGGAAAATTTGTTCATATAGCAATATAAAAACTAAGAATTCAGAGAAATAAAAATTCTCTTTTAAACGACAAAAATGCTTAGATCCAAAAATCTACATTATTCAGAGTTCAAGTAAAATTGCAGCATATGAATATATGTGTTAAAACTTGGGCACTGTAGTAGTAAGTAATTCCATAATAGCTTGTTTATTAGATATATCACACAGTGTGAAACATTATGATTACATACTGGACGACAGGTTTCGAACACAATTTATTGTGGTTCATAATCATTTCATCACTTATAATCACACAACTTCGAAATTTGAGTTTTATAGTTTTCTTTGTCTTCTCCTATTTGTCGTCGTAGGGGTAGTAGAATTTTCCAGATATTTGACTGGAAAGGTGTTGAATAATTCCGGTGACAGATATTTGCAATTGATTCAATAAACAAATATTTATTTATTTATTTATTTAAACGCATAAAAACTTGGTACAATATGGCACCAAGAAGGATGTGCCACACAATAATAATAAAACAACATAGATCAAAAGAAAAAAAGAAAGAAGAGAAATATATATATATATAAGTAGAGAACGGATAAAGAACTTCATCTGGAAGGAAAACAGTCATGCTTAACAAGTTCAAACAGTATTCGTTAACTATCATCGGGAAGGGAAGAAAGAAGGAAATTGCAACACGTGTGATAGCACGCGATAAGTTACCTTAATTGTTTGTTACTTTATTCAATTCATTGTGTGAGAGCTGAGATACTTCCCGGGCGCCCAGACCGAAGCAGGTGGTTTTCTTAAGGGACCATTCCCCGAGACTTGGACTTGTAGTCTAATCCGCAACGCAGCAGAGCAGTGTCAGGAGCTGCATTCCCATGGTTGGCGGTGACCCATATGGGTTCATACGTCATTTGATCCGACTGGATACTGTAGCCCATGTACCCCATGGTAACTGCTTTTAGTTTAACCGCTATCCAAACAACCTTCCTGACATGTTAGGACCTGCAGGGACAGAGTCCCAGTCAGTTTAGCACGTTGGATCATTACGGTATTCAAGCCCGACCACCACGACAAGGTAGCAGTTATCGGCCGGGCGATAAACAAAACACCTGTTATCAATCTCTCTCCACCAAAACTACGTAGTACCAAGGAAAATCTAAGACAGAAAGTGAGGCATACAAGACAAGAGTTGAAACTTAATAATAACCCTGGTAAATTAGAAGGTATATAGGAAAATGCAAAAATTAAATCAATGATAGTAGTGACGACGACATGTATGATCCAAAGCAGTTTGCTTACAAACAGGGTAGAAGTACTTTGGATGCTGCTGCTGTGTTTCATCACAACATTGTATCCTCCTTAGACAAAGGGGCCAAGTATGTCCGTTGTACTTTCCTTGATTACACATCTGCTTTTGACTCTGTACCTAGAGGCCTTTTGTTAAACAAGCTTAGCCTTACACAAACTGAGTCCTGGGCTATCAACTGGCTGCACTCTTACTTCTCCAATAGGATGCAGTACACGGTATATAATGGTGTAGCTTCCTCTCCTTTGCTTACTGAAGCTGGTGTTCCTCAGGGTGCTGTTCTCTCGCCGTTTCTCTTTTCCTTCTTCTTACATGACTTACCTCTCTCAGACGAAATCAACTTCGTCAAATATGCAGATGACCTGACTGTTTCGCTTCCCGTTAAGTCTCAGTCAGACTGCTTCAAATTAAATAGCTTCCTGTCGGACATCAGTCAGTGGTCTAAAATAAATGGCCTAACGCTGAATCCCTCAAAATGCCAGACTGTCGACTTCTCCTTTAGGCATAAACGAGATCTACAAACACTAGTAAGCACTCATGATGTCTGTAGAATCGAGGGGACTATAATTGAAACAAAGTCTAATGCAAAATACCTCGGATTAGTTATATCTTCCGACCTTACTTGGTCATCTCATATCCAAATGATTTCCAAGAAAGTGTTTCGTCTAACCTACTACATTAAGAAACTCAGACTAACTGGAGTCCCTCAACCTCTGCTTACACAATTTGTCAACTCTCGTATCCTACCTATTCTACTTTACTGTTCCCCGTTAGTCTTTCCTGGGTTACTGAAAAAGGATTATACCATCCTGAGAAGGATGTTGAAGGTAGTTAGCAGGACTAGCGGTGTAAAACTCAGTCAGCTCGTCACAACATTAGTGGATAAGCATCTGAATACATGTGAGAAATGGTCTAAAACCATACTCTCTGACCCCCAACACCCCCTCTATTCCCAACTCTCTCCCTGCATCTCATCAGGTAGAACCAGAAATCAGTATAAAATAATATATGCTCGCACAACCAAGTATAGGAACTCAACGATACCATATTTGGCCCGTGTTCTAAGTGACAGAGACAATGTTAGGCGTGAAACCTATGACTTGCTTTGTTGTTAATAACATAATTTTGGCCCTTGTTTTTTTCCCCCTTACACTCTCTTATTTGTACTCTATAGTGAACAACCTTCTTAAACATACTTAGCTGCTTAAAATTATTATCATTGGCTTACATTTTTATTCTTTATTCTATTCCTTCTTTGTACATCTACTGGGTCCGACTATATTATCACTATGATTATTAAAAATTGTCCCGTCATTAACCATCATGTAACATTAGTTTTGTGGTTGTTCTTTGTTCGGCACTATTTAACTGACAATCTTGTTTGTTATTGCCACTATCACCATCTTAAAAATTTTGTATTATGCATGATTCCTCACACTGCCACTACAAACAACCGCATTAGTACTGACAAAAAAAAACAAACCTGAAATGTTTATCTTATGATTGCTTAGTGTTGTTCAATCAAATTAACTGATCATCTTGGCTATAAACATTTTTTTTAAGAACATCTCATAATTTCCCGTATGATTATAGCTGTTACTGTTCACCACGCATACACATATCGTAGCTTCCACTAACTAATACTGAAATATTTTTTTTCATTATTTGTGTTGATCTTCTTTTTTTTACTCAGTATTTTTATTTGCATTTTTTTTGGTTATTTCTGTTTCTTTTGTTTGGTTTTTATAATACTCCTTTTAAATGTACGATGAAATTAGATGCAATATTGTAGATATGTGCTGAAAATTCCACACTGTACCACAAGTACTGTTTCTGGAATAAAGCGAAATTGTTATGTTATGTTATGTTATGTTAAACATTCAAAGTATACTGACAACACCAACACAAAGGGATCTAAATAATCAGTGGTACTTCCATACAAGGAGGGAACCTCGGAAACCTTACGCAGAATTATTAACAAGGCAGGAGTAAAAATGGCTGGCATTCAAACCAACCACAAACTTAATTAGAAACAAGCTTTGTCGGTTAAAGAATCAATCCGGTGGAGCCTTGAAAACAAAACAATTTGGTTTATCTAATACCCTATCTGCGATGATTGTCAGGTGAAACACATAGGTCCAAGTAGTAGAAGAGGGGCAGTCAGACAGACTAGCCGAGCATAAAAACCTAGCAGCAAAGTCTAGATTAGTTGACCCGAATAAGATAAGAAATCTAGAGAATAGTTCAGCCGTAGATAGCACTCGCTACATGCAGTTATACAACCATAGAATAGGATGGGGAGGATGACAGTTTTTAAAATCTTATGTCACAGGGTGGGGGAGAGATTGATACCAGGAGACGACGAATAGAGGAGAACAAAGAAAACTATAAAACTCAAGTTTCGAAGTCGTGTGATTAAAAGTGATGATATGATTATGAACAAGAATAAATTTTTTTCGAAACCTTGTCATCCAGTATGTAATAATACTGTTTCACACCATGTGTGATACATCTAATAAACAAACTTTGCATCAATTTATATCGCGCATTGCGTATACCTCTGAAAAGCCTGTTCGATCTACGTTACCAACTTGATGCTAATTCCTATTAAGGCTTATATCTGAGAGTACAATTATAAACCTAAACAGTTTACAGGTTTATTTCTACAAATTCACGCTTCAGATGAAATATTCTCTAAAAATGAAAGCAAAAACTGAGATCTTTCGCATAAATAAATAAAATAAAAATAAATAAGAAAGCAATCACACAGAAACTAACCACAGATAGCCTCTCTCCAACCCCCACCCAATCGTACTACAGAACATGTTAACTGGCGTCCAGCAAACCAACGACCATTACAAGCTTCAGCAGCATCCCATGTCGCGCTTGGACCTCTTGCAAATTCAATGTACACTGTTCCACACAAATGATCAGCTAAATTACGACATGTTCGAATTACTGAAATTTTGCCCCATCTTGATTCCATTTCTGAGCGTACATCATGATAGAAGTCATGATAATCTGATAGTAACTGATTTTCGTCTACTTCAAGACCTGAGTCTAAAATACACATTTATTGATGTTAAACAAAAAAAGAAAGTGCTGCAAATGATTCAAATTCAAAACTGTGGGGAAAATTTAAAAAATCTTGTACAGAATTACATGGTGGTACATATTATCTATTGACTGATATGAATAGTTGGAAAGCCCTAGTATTTACCAGTAGTGGTGCTTGTTAGCCAGCGAAAAATGATCTAGCCACTGGACGGCTGTCTTCTTCTTCTTGTGGGTTAAGCTCATCAGTAGTGTACTCGGATCGATTTAGTTCAGACAGCCAGCTGTTCACTGTTTAGATAATTTCGAACTGGCTAGCAAGCACTAACTACTATTTGACTGACGTCAGTGCAAGCGATTTCGAGGCATATCACCAATTGTCTCCAGAAGTCATTGGTTCCTACCATCCCGAGGACCAAAACCAGTCAAGGAGTCTACATCTCCCTATGTGGCTGACTGGCTGGCTGGCTGGTTCAAACTAACTGTTATGGCTTTCATTGATTGATGAAGCCATGTTTCCGTGTGACCACGACTAGCTGGCTCCTTTCCAACTTCATCTATCCTATGTCAGTCAGCTGAAGAAATTGGCCGTCATCGAAGAAGGATATCGATGGCTAGACATGCATGCGGAACACATATCCTAACCACCTCACACAATCGATCTAGCTGCTTCACGACCTCATCAAATGATCTCTCCTTCTTACCTAACACTCGACTGATGCTTAACCTCAATAATATTCACCCTATTACACCTACCACCTAACACGGGAGATAGAATATAAACACCTGTGATGAAAGACAGCTAGCCAGCCTTTTCACGTCTTCCAGTTTTAATGGCCATGTATCACAGCCATAGACGAGGACGGAGCGGACTGCCTCTGAGCAGTACACACGCCCTTTAGTCGACAACTAGCTGGATATCACGTCTACGCTAAAGACGGTGTAAACTGGCATACGCAAAACAGGCCTTCTGTATCCGTGCTGACATTTGGTCAGTAATCAACAAATTATTGCAATTTAAATTAGACACACATGATGAATGAATGAAGGTTTTTTGAAAAAAAAACTGGAAAATTTGTAAGAGTTAACCAACTTTGCTGCACGTATTTACAATCAAAGCACCAGGGGTTTTATTTACAACAACAACAAAAAAAGAAAACAACAAACCTTGATCCTCAGAACCCACTTTCCTTGTTATATCCAAATGGAAGTGAGTGAACATTTTAGGTATCCGTAAAACTAGGCATGAATTATCTATCGGTTCATCAAAACCATCTTGGTCATCATTAATAAGACTAAATGATGCCACAGTGTCATAGGCACTTGGATATTCATGAAGACGGGAGCAACTGAAAATAGCGACAATGGAACAAATTATTTTATCATTCATTGAGTAACGAAAGTAGTAGCAATAAAAATATGAATGATAATTCTATACTGGGGCAAAATGTTTACAAACAAAAAGTACAGAATTCTCAGCGTAATTTATTCTATAATATAATTGAATTTGAGATTTTTCCGTGGATTGATTGGACTGAAGTGTTAGGTCTCAGGTTGACATGTCGGCTTCTTGTGCAGATGCTTCGACGATATCTGAGTATGTAATTAGAATTTAATTGGTGGATAGTGACTACCACTGGAATCCAGGATGCGCATTTAATCCTAGTTGGGACTCGTCAGCTGCATTTCCCTGCGAGTGATGATGTTCCCACCGAGGGTCGAACCCAGTGCTCATAGTTTCAAACGCTAAAGCGTTATCCACTAGATCACTTGGGCTACGAGAGCCAGACATAGCCGAAGCATCTGCACAAGAAGCCGACATATCAACCTGAGACCTAGTACTTCGGTCCAATCAATCGATGGGAAAACCTAAAGTTAAATTAATATAACCCGTTGCGCAAGAGGTGGCCAACTGTCGTGGCCCAAGTGGTTTAGTGGATAACGCTTTGGCGTTTGAAACTATGGGCACTGGGTTCGAGCCTCGGTGGAAATATCATCACTCACTGGGAAATGAAGGTACATCCAGCTGACGAGTCCCAACTAGGATGAAATACGCATCCTGGATTCCACTGGTAGTCACTATCCACCAATGAAATTTTAGTCTATAATATTTTCTCTGCAAAAGTATCTTTATGCAGATAATAGCAATCTATGTTATATCACGTGACGCACCGCTGTATGATCAACAACACCTGCATATGCAGCAGTTCAAGTCATCACACTCCCTCCATGTAGCACATAAAGCAAGGGAAGAGAGTGAAGAGAGATTCAAAACAGAGATAAACAGAAATATGAGGCAAAAAGAATAATAATATAGAGGAGCCATATAGTTTTATTAAATATGACAAATAACAAGGAGTGGATGCATCTGCGATAGACACTGAGAACGATTTCGAGCCATACTACCAATTGTCTCCACCCATTGGTTTTTACCGTCCTGAGGACCCCAACCAGTAAGCTAGTCTACATCTTCCTACGTGGCTGGCTTAAACTAACTGTTATGGATTTCATTGACTGATATAGCCACGTTTTGATCTGACCATCACTAACAATTCTTTTCCAGCCTGACCCTATGTCAGCTTACACTGCCCGTCGAGGAAGGCGATGGCTAGGCATACGTAAAACATGTCCTAACCATCTCAGTCGATGTAACTGCTTCACAGCCTCGTCGATTGATTTCCCCTCCCACCTACCTATCACCCGACACCTAACCTCAGTATTGCTCACCCAATTACACCGACCACCTAACACGAGAGATAGAACGCAATAAGGTCGGCTCATAGTCGTGAGAATGCATTGTTCTTATTGGCTGGCAATAGGTATTCTGGTTGGATGGCTAACCGACATAAACCAAGGTGAGACAAAAGATGATGAATTGATCACACAATAAATCGCAAGATCCGTGAGAAGAGATGACATACTATTTTACGCTGGTTCCTACCAGAAACAACTTAACAAAGAAGCTACAATGACACCGATGGCCTGATACATTTTGACATTATGGATAACAGCCTTCAATGAAAACAACACATCCATATCAAAAGATTTTGGTCCTTAAGAATTTTCTAAACTAACTAACTGTTATTTGACTTTAAGCCATATGGAAAAAGCATAAAATGAGAGTTAACAAAGTGAGCATGAAATCACAAGCTACAGAATAACCTGAAACGAAAACAGTGGACGAAAACACAAATTATATTTGCGAGGAAAATTTAAGATATGGGCACACCCACGCTACCATCATCAATTTTCAAACTTACCACTATTCCTTCATATATAGGCTCCCCTGGTCGTATACATATTATTAACCAGACTAACCTTCCCTGTATGCCTCAAATCAACCAACGATGTCTTCATTCATGGAATGGTATCACGTCTTGAATTAGTCATCCTTCCCCCTTTCTCTCCAATCCAGTCACACGCTGTTGCTAACATACCGTCCGTCGTCAGTGGCCCAATATTAGAATGCATTTCAGTCACTCACGGTTTCCATTCCGAATTGATGAACTTCTAAAACCTTGCCTAATCGGCAGAAAGCCCGGAAAGAAAAGAGGTAACGTTGAGCGTGAAACTAGCAACTAGCAATCCCACTTCGTAAAAATAGTGACTCCGTTACTGAAACCTGAAAGCTTATAGCTCTATGTTTCACTCAGTAAGTGAGAGCAGGGTATGGTGTCACACGATATAATTGTACGTAGACGACTACTCAAACCAGAGAGGACTTCAAATATATATGACCAGTGAGGTCCATCCAGTCGGAAGTAGAGATGGAGTCCCAGCCAATGACATTTTTTGGTGGTCATGCTAAAAATCAAGAATTGATAAAAGTTAGAATTCATGTGCTGCCCCCTTTGACTCGAGTCCCAGTGGCTGAATGGTATACGAGCTAGCTTGCCTTGTAACCGGAAGGTCATTCGTTCGAAGCCCAGTGGGTGAGTACTGCCGATAATTCCCAAACTATGTTCTCTAACTGATATCAATCCGTGGTCTAACCTAAAATATGACCTAATGCCTAAAAATAAACATCAATAAACCCCAGTCTCATTGCTTATGAGAAAAATCGATAATAAGAATTTGTCAACAGCACTTCGCTGTGTGTTAATGACACAAATACACCAAAAAAAACAGCATACCAACTCCTCCAGATGAGAGTTGAGATTTCCACTAACTATATATATATATATATATATATATATATATATATATATATATATATATATATATATATATTTATAAAATATATAACAACACACATAAACTTACAGAAAATCATATCGACAAGCCCCAGTTTTACGAAAGAAACTACACTTCTCTATGACTGCAGAAACACTAGACCGTGGTACTTGTTCCACTACTGAATTAATCGATACAGGAGGTGGAGGATGATGCCAAGGTGGAAGGTTAGAAGGCTGTTCATGAATTGCCTAAGAGATAAGAAAACAAGATTACTGTCAGGCACAAAGTCATCAAAATCAACATAAATGATGTAGAACTCATCATGAATACCTTTGAATGGATTAACATTGGGAAATTATACAAGAATCCAATGAATTCGTAGTTCTGTTAAAATCCACAGTGTGTGAAACACAACGCTATCGACTGAAATTCAAGTCCAATACCTCGGATAGGTGGTACAAGTATTCATGAGTCTGAAGTATTAACCAAGAAAAGAGGGCAAAGTTTAACAATAGCGTCCCAAGGGATGTGAACGCACCGGTAACCTTCAGTCGAGCAATCATGAGGAATTTTTGCACAAAAAATGACGTATATTTACAAGGAAATGCATGAAAACGCATTACTCAGGTGATCTTTCTCTGACATAACTTAAAAGTACGTCCACGTTATAATGAGGAGTTTCAGTTGCTAAGTTAGGCTAGTTTCTGTACATGAGTATTCACCAAAGTGACTAAAGATGAGTTGGCTTTGTGAATCGTTCATCTCTCTTACTCCTGTTAAGCAGTCCTCCCAAAAGCCTTCGATTGAATTACTATGGTTTCCAGTAACAGGATCGACGACTACTTACCAGGGAAATGTGGATAAGAAAACAAATTAAAACAAATAATATCAACTATTAATCTATCCCTAGTCGTAACCCTAACCTTAATGTTGACCCTAACACTAACCCAAGTTAATCCTAACCCCAACCCCAACACTTACCTTAATCCTGATTCTATCTAGCTATTAACACATTGTTGAAACAGTATTAAAAAACGTGATCTGAGTGAAATTTACTGCGTTGATATTTCAGCTATGATAATGAAAGGTGCCGTCAGCCGACGATTTGCATCCATTCAAGGTCATTGGGCTTTCGCAATCCTCGAACGCTATTGTTGAACTTTGTCTGAAAGTAACTCTTGAGGTTAAATTATTGGTACGAATTGAAGCGATTGATCTCGTATTAAAGTTCCCTATTTGCAAGTGTTCCTCATTTTTTTTATGATTGGTCGACTGAAGGTCACCCGTGCATCCACATCCCTTGGGACACTATTGTTGAACTTCGCCAAAAAAGGAATGAGTCACTTTCACTAGATAGACTTCTTTTTGTATGACCTGCTCTGTATTCTTCTACAGCTAACTTCATTAAACACGCCGATGATCTATCCATTTCTGTCCCAGTAGTTCCTGCATTCCATAGTGCTTATATGAGTAGATCCTTATCCTCATCTAAATGGTCTTAAGCTGAATCCATCTAAATGCCACACATAGTTGACTTTAATTTCAGATGCGAAAAGGACTCTTGTGGACTGTATCAATCCTATTGTAACAACGGAAGACAACAGCCAGGCAACAGATCGTTTATTGAGAAAATCAAGAAATACTTACAGACTTCTATGTATATTATTGTTAGCGGAGAAGCAACTTCTTCTGACTAGTTGTTTTCTTGCTAAAATTTGTTCCATTATTGTTTGTGTCAGTTTCTCAGAAAGTTAAGCCATATATCTACGAATCCTATGATTGGTTTGTGAGTTCCTCAAGACTAAGCTTTGTTATTGCTTTTTTTTCTTATGAACCCGATTAGGAACATAAACATTGACGGAAATTGTTGTCTAAAATTTTGGCTTGTTCGCAACCAGCTCTCGCCATATCATGATTTATGTAATATTCACAGTATTGTGAAGATAAGGAGTAAATCGAATATCCCTTATCTCAGAATCAGTTTCCCCTTGGAATCTCTGTTGGTAGTCTCATATCCTGTTGATTTCTACGGAAAATTTTTCGTTTGACAGAGAAGTTTTTTTTTATTATTTCCCAGTGGAACACATAGGGCTCGAAGTTAGAGCTTTAACGTCTCAGTACCAGTGGTGTTTGTTTTTACGGGATAGGCTTGACAGCCTCATGCCCAAGCTTCCCTTTTTACCAGCTTAGCAAGGGTCAACATTATTCTGACTACTCTTCTTCAGTGTTCTGCCCCGTCCCCCACTTCGTCCCTGCTGAACTTGTCTAAAGAGATTATGCCATATAAGATAGAACACTTAAGACTGTAAGCGTACAGGTTTGACGATGTGTGTGTGTGTGTGTGTCGCCTTCGACTCAGCTGACTGATATTATTGTCAATAAGCACTTCGATTCTCGCAAGCAGTTGGTTAAAGTTATCTTGTCTGATACCGAACATCCTCTCCACTTTTTCGCAATTTTGTCCTTGTATTTCTTCACGGATGAAAGCGGAGTAAAACTTCATCAGAAATCATGCTCGTACAGCAGCTAATAAATATCAAAATTATATCATACCACCATATTTAGCAGAGGTTTTGTGTGAAAAGAGAGAGAGAGAGTCAGATGTCAGAAAGCCTCAGGATGGTCGGGGGTGGGTGTCTTGCGCTGCGGGTTGGCCACCCCTCCGTACACCTCTTGAAATGCTCCCATATGACCGGGCGTCTTACATAGCCTCTCCTGAGGAAGTCCTACTCACTGCCTTCACGTGGTGGAGGTATTTTTCACCGAAGTAAGAGGGCGAGAGCGGATGCCCGGCGCTCTTTACCGGGTTGACTGTCCATTGGATGACAGTCTAGGGGAGATGGCTAAACCCTGATTCCAAACCTCCAACGACTGGCGTATGAAGCTCACCGGCAGACGTATGGACAAAGGGCTTATTGGATGCCCTGGATGTCTGGCCCCATTCAAAAACGCGTATGAACCGGACTCCGGTCACCGGCTGACAATGGATAGTGGACTCCCTACTCCACTCCTACTGCCTTGTAGGTCACACTTGGTTGTGTAAAGGCTAGAGCTGCACTCTCAAACAAAGGCCGAGTGATACTGGGGACATCACTCGTACCTAATTCCCATGAAACTTCATGGTTCATGAAGCCGGCTCATCCTCCCGTAGGAGATAGCCGAAGTAAAGTAAGTAAGTAAGTATGTCAGAAAAGAACTTATAAACTTCTGAAAACAGTAACTAAACTCCAAAGTATACACTAAAGATTATTACTATTACATGCAATATCTATTTATAATCTATTGTGTTTCCATCAATCTTAAGAAGCTAAATTGTTGCAATATGCACAAAGACGCTGGAAATTCCAATCTGTACACCGATTATCATTGTTTGGAATAGTGATTATTATTATTATTATTATTATTACTATTCAATAGACAAAATGGAAATAGTAACGCCTTTGCTATTGACAACTAAAGCAAAGCACAACTTCTGTTGGTGTCTTTACCTTGATAGCATATTTGTACCATTTTCTAAGTGCACAGGAAATAGGAAGTCACAGAGTTGATCAAATACTCTGACACTGACAGATAAAGCAAGTTGTAGTAGTGTGGTGAGAGCTGTCTGCTAGCCAAAATTTAGACAGCATCAATTTACTTCAATTTTCAGGTCCCTCCCGAATAGGGGACATAAGAAAAAAAAAGCCTAACCTTGAGAAACTCACAAACCAATCACAGCAGACTTAACGTGAGCAAATACGATTCACAGATTTATACATATATATCACCGGACTGTCTAACAAACGGCTCCAAAAAGAGATGACAGAATAACCTTGAGCAAGAAAACAATCAACCAGAAGAGGTTGCTTCTCAGCTAGCAATGACGAATAATAATGTACTTGAAAATCTATAAATATCTTTTGATTTTCTCAATAAACGATCCGTCGCCTGGCTTTTATCTTCTGTTGTTACAGAAGTAACTTTTCACATTAAATGCTAAACGAAATGAAACTTATTTTATATTACAATCCCTTCACGTAACTATGATAGGTAAAATCAAGAATAACACATCGAAATGAATCGATTTCGCCATGAGCTGACATCGGTTTTGAAGAGCCATTGACGAACCTGGTAGCACTAGACAACTGTTTCGTCCCTGTTTGGGACTTGCTGATGATATTGGATAGTGGTCTTGCTACACCGTGAATTATTGGCAAAAGTTGGAACTCATGAAATGGATATTGGATCAGATACTAGGGGTCTAATGGTTTACAAGCTCACTGCCTTGAAACCGAAAGGTTCTGGGTTGGAACCAAGGCGGTGGATGTGTGATGCCGAAGAGTCCAAAACTAGGACGATAAGGACAGCTGTTCAGTTTGTCTGTTTCAACTGCTGCACATCGGTGCAGCACTCTGTGTAGCACACAAAGCAAGGGAGAAGAAAGTAGAAGAAATGCAAAATAGAAACAGTAGACAGGGATATGAGACAAAAGGAATAGTAATAGCGAAGAACAATATAGTTTCATTGGAAATTATACATCACAAGGAGTGGATGCATCTGGGCCATCATCCAAAAAGGATTTTGAGATATATCACCAATTGTCTACAGACATTGGTTCCTACCGCCCTGAGGACCCCAACCAGTCAGGAAGTCTACACCTTTCTACGTGGCTGGCTGGCTGGCTGGCTTAAACTAACTGTTGTGAATTTAATTGACTGATGAAGCCATGTTTTGGTTTGACCACCACTAACAGCTCTTTTCCAATCTGACACTATGTGAGCTAACATTCCCCGTCGTCGAGGGAGGCGATGGCTAGGCAT